ATAACAAAAACTTCGTCCATATCTTACGGGCGTAGTCCCACGTAGTATTTAATTGCCAGTCGAGACGGCTGTCTGTCGCCACCAAACTGTTATCATCACCAAGAAAAACACGTTTTATTATTTCATCTGTCTACCTAACTTCGCAACTTTCAACCTCCGTAAAGGTAAATAAAGAGACAGAGAAATAATGTAACACACACTATTTAGCAATTATGTTATGTAATAGGGGTGACCCTATTATTGGTATCACAGAATAAACATCAGAATTTTTCTGTTGTATGCCTCATGCTAATCCTGAGTAATTTCAAAAAGACTTCAATAATACCAAGATATATTTTTCATTTAGTAGGTATGTATATTAAAAACAATACAATACGAAAAATTCCAACTAAAAATATATAATCAATTAGGTAAATAAAATGTTAAAGACACGACAACTTTGCGTAAATAAGGCTCATAATTGTACACACATACGTATGGAATGTACATACATGACACATACTAAAGTTGACTGCCTCGGTGGTTAATTACGTCATTACTTAACTATGATATGAACACAAACATTTGTGTTCGATGGCCAAGTTGTTTTCAAAAGAGGTTTTCATTTCGGTATTCGCTCTAATTGAACGAAATCTGGAATTCTCCTGAGTATAATAAAACACGAAGACTCGTGTGAATTGAAAATTTACTAAAAGATAACTGGTGTTTTTGTTCTAAAAATAAGCGTATATTAAAAGTGTCATTGCAGCCGTAAGTCGTCTTTTGAGAGACGCTACAGCGTCTTCACCTACCGCCTGACGTAGGCAATTACCGGACATGGGAGTTTCGGTAGGTACCTGTTCCTAATTGGGCAGGAGGAACCACCATGGTCAGTGCGAGGACCGCCCGGAGGACACGGTGGAGCGTAGGGTGACTGTGTGCCCTGCGTGGGCTGAGCACCGCCGAGTCCTCAGGGATGTGCGACGGCGACCTCTCGCGTCCGGCTCTGGTTTAGGCCATGGCCTTCTGCAAAGCACTCATGCTAGCCGCGTGATGGAACGAACCACTTCACGCCCCAGCCATCGCGAAGGACACTCCGGGCGACGGAGATCGCTTGACAATCTCCGGCCTCCGGAAGTGCTGGTCAGCGGACGGCGAACAAGGGTAGTTTGCCGCCCGACCGGAACTAGACCTATGCGTATGGCGCGTCGCGTTCTGCGCGCACCTCAAAGAGATATGAAACCACCATAAATCCCCATCTATTACCCAGCAGGGCTGATGCCCGATACAGAACCGCGAAAGGCTTAACAGGTTGTAGGAACGGGGTAACCCAACGCGTCATTGGATGATTTTCCCCACTCAAAAAAGGTTTGCAGTTTTTGTGACAAGTCATTTTAAACCTTTTTTTGTTCTGAGTTTTTTACTACCTACCTCTATAAAGTCACGCCAACCATGTATACAAAATTTCAGCAAAATCGGTTGAAGATATCTGCTTCAAAATGGAGTTGCAAGATTCCACTTCAGTCACTTCACACACACTAATTGCAAGTTAAATAAAAGCTTGTAAAACAAATTCTCATTATTTTAACCATTTAACCCGGGAATCGAACCCGAGACCCCTTGCCCGGCAGTCGCATTTGCGACCACTCGGCTAAGGAGGCAGTCAATATTACTATAGGTAATGACAAAATTATCTAACTCAAATGTGTGTACCACATGTAGACATGATATAATTATGTCTGGACTACATAAATTAAATGTGTTATGAATTTATTCAGAATAAGGACTACATATTATACTTATTGTTACCTATCTATGCATAAAAAACGTCCTTGCATGGCTTGAACACTCTGTACCGTAAATTAACAATAGGCTAATTTAGTAACGTTTATTTTTAAGTTAACTGTAATTAGGTACATAGGTAATTCTTAAAGAAATCTACTATAATAAAAATAAGTCGGGTTTTCCTTCCTGACGCTATAACTCCAGAACGCACGAACCGATTTCCACGGTTTTGCATTCGTTGGAAAGGTCTCGGGCTCCGTGAGGTTTATAAAATACATATAAATTATAAATACAATTCTTCATCTTTTAATCACCAAACTAAAGGTCAAACGGTTTGCTAGTAGTATTTTATAAAAAATCATGTTATGTATGATTTAAAATTCTGCATCTCATTCTTCTTCTAACCTAATAATGACTTTGTTATCATTAACCTAAGCAACACTAAGGTGAAAATGTCGGTCAGCTGAAATATTGAACCGACCTGTTTCAGGATTACGTAATACTGCTGAAACCTTGGCATTTCAATATATGTCGCCTTCATATAGCCTAGCCTAGGTAATATTTTGTGTGACCTCGATGTTATCTGGATAAGCTAAAATGATGCCTATAAACTTAAGCACCAAGTAATGTAATGTACTGTTTTTGTTTGGTCTATGTTTTATAAGTATACATTATACATACATATTTCAGTTTCAACCTGACTTATTTTTATAAAGACTGCCTCGTTGGCCGAGTGGTCGCAAGTGCGGCTACCGGGCAAGGGGTCTCGGGTTCGATTCCCGGGTCGAGTAAAATATTACTGGGTTTAAAAAAAAAATCACAGTAGTAGCACAGAGTCTAGAAATGCCCCCGGTATATGGCAATAGGCTCACCCCCTATTACATGGGACTCATAACATAAATAGTGAAAAGTGGGTGTTACTTCTGTGTACACCTCTGCCTACCCCTTCGGGGATAAAAGGCGTGATGTTATGTGTTATGTTATGTATATTTCAGTTTTATTGAAAAATGCTTTAAGTCTATGTACTGTAAGTTCATCTTCGGTGTTATGATGAATTAATATGTAAGTACATATTATTATGTATTCTTTGAATTCATAATATAGAGGTACATATTTTTGCACGCCAATCACAAAATTAATAGGTCATGTCATGTCGTATCACACAGGGTGATTTCTTCCAGACTATCTTTTAATGATTTTGTTAGAAAAATCCTGATATATTGTAATGTTCAAAGTCAAAGTCAAAGCATTTATTTCAATCGACCGCACGGTTGGTGCGGTGGCTGGGCAACCGGCTGCCGTGCAACGTGTCGCGGGTTCGATTCCCGCACGGAACAACACTTTGTGTGATTCACAATTTGTTGTTTCGGGTCTGGGTGTCATTGTGTTTGTGAACTTGTATGTTTGTAAACGCACCTACGACACAGGAGAAAATCCAAAATTGTGGCAACGTTTTTTTTTTAATAAAACAAAATTAAATAATTTGGTACTTTTGAAACGTCAACAAATACAAAATAAATAATAGTCTGTCAGTCAGTCCGTCAGTGAAGTTAGGTGAAGCTAGGTGCTCATTCCAAAATGTAGATTTGAATGGAAAATGTTACTGAACTATCACCTACGTAACGTTTGCAATAAAATCACAAGTTCCGTAATTTAAACTACCATTGAAAATATAGGTATACATTTTCTATATATTATATTTACACCCACTGTATTAATTCCATCATTACTGCCGTCATGACAATACCACAGTCACATTCGTGATATGTTATACTATAAGGATGTGATTAATATTACATTTTAACAAACAATATAACTTGCACTGCACGGTTGGTGCGGTGACTGGGCAACCGGCTGCCGTGCAACGTGTCGCGGGTTCGATTCCCGCACGGAACAACACTTTGTATGATCCACAAATTGTTGTTTCGGGTCTGGGTGTCATTGTGTATGTGGACTTGTATGTTTGTAAACGAACCCACGACACAGGAGATAATCCTACTGTGGGGAAACGTTTAAAAAAAAAAAAAAAAAAAAAAAAACTTAGAGCTTCGTGCACAACAGTTAATCTTACAACGAATGGTTCATTTTAAACTGGGTATATAGGTAGTGAAGGAGTCGTCGCAACCTTTTTCGTCATTAGTCTGCTTATAACCATGACGATAGTGTGAGTCATTATAATAACTGCTTGTGACGTCAGATTGATGATGTCATTAAATGATTGAACATAAGGTTGATCTTTTTATGGCAAGGATTTGCCTTTTTTCCGTTTTTTAGGTCAAAAACGATTTTATATTTCTGTGTTTTTTTTGTGTTACGAAATTGCTTGTTATTCATCAAAACAATTATTTTAGTGTATTATTCATTAAAATCTTTCACTTTGCCTTTTAACTGATTTAGAAAAGTTTTGTTAAAATTTCTGTAAAATATGCTTGATACGTTCTATTTCGCAAAAATAAATATTCACGTAAATACTTCTATTTTAAGTTTAACATAAAATTACACAGCATCTTGGAACACTCTTCTAAAAGTTTACATTTAAACAATACAGATACCGATGTAAAAAAGACGTACAATAATTTATCAACAATTCTAAAAATAAAAATATTAAATAAAAAAATAAATATAATATGTGTTAGCCAGTATCTACTAATACGAACAAAAAACATTACCTACACACATTAATAGCAGTAAGTATATAGAAGGGGTCAACTGGACAAGTCATGTATGATTCATAATAATCAGACAGTTTAAATGCCATTTGTATGATAAACGACTGATTGACAAACCAGACGACTAACCTAAACCCCTATTATATACACGACTCCTTTTAACACAAGTCAATTCAATTTTCAAAAGGAATTATTTCCTCGCATCTCTTGTACATAATATAATTTTATAAATTACTAGCTGACTTCGTCAGCGTGGAATAGTGATTCACAGCTCCTCCCCCAGAGGTGATGGCGTGATAATATGTAGACTATATGTTGACCCGACTTGTTAGTAATATTCATGCAAAACTTTAAGTACATCCATACAGTACTTTTTGAGTTTAACCGGGACATACATACAGACAAACAGACAAAAATTCTAAAAACCATATTTTTGGCTTTGATGTCGATTGTAGATCACACTTCAACTATTCTTTAAAAAAAATATTTAATGAACAGTTTTCACTTTCCTACGAATTCATTATATGTATGGATAGATGTAAATACTGTTTTAATGTAATGGTTCGAGTTAAATACTAGTCGCAATATTATAAGTATGAACTAAAAGACTTTAGGTACTAAAAATGTGCGATCGTAATTTTAGGAAGAACCAAAATATCTTCGACTGATGCTAATTTAAATGCGATCTACGTAGAAAAGTGCTCGTGTAATCAAAAAAATGTGGAATACGTCTGTATATTTTGTACGTGTACATTTGCATCGCTGTGAGCTCAGCTTCATCATGCGTGCTACTAACCTTGACCACCAAAGCAAGGGCCCACGAAGGTCACACATTGTTTTATTGATGTCATACCGTGTCATAATAAAAACATTGATATTCTTTACAGATTACTACCACCATAACCTGATAACTTCATAAAAATCGTACTATTGCATAACCGTCAATTCCACTCAGTATCAAAAAGGTAAGAAGTGTATTGATAAAGTGATATAGAAATGGCTCTTAAAGCTTTTATTACAGAACTTTTATTTCAAAAGTAAGTACCTAGTTATAGTAAGATGACATCATCTGTTCGCGTCGGCGTCGACGAGTCGACCGAGGCCACAAGACGTGGTTGGTTTGCACCAGGCCCCAGTTTGAAATAGCGCGCGCGGTGAACACCACGTACGTTACAAATTCAGTGTGAAAAAAGTCAAGCAGTCCATAAATCATGGCTAACATAGTGGGTAAGTGAACTTCCTATACCTAATCAATTTACCAAAAATATCACAAAAGTGTGTATATTTTTTATTTTCTCGACGCATATTTGCGACCGGTGTTTTTATTAGACCTTGAAACTTTAAACACATAGGTAGGTATACTGCGGACAATACAGCGACAACTTTTGAGTGATATTTCTAGTCTCACATTATTTAATAATCTAGTGTTGTTTTTGAGTAGCCGGCATCGACTACCTAACATCGGACCCGGCTTTTCCTGGCACAAGGCCAGCGTTTGGGCGTGGTGATGCGGGTAGAATTTTCGTTAGAAACAATCAATATAAACATTTCTACCGGTTCTTGGAAAATGTCATGAATAATAAACATAAAACGAACCATACATCTTCATCAAGCGGCATGTAGGAAATGACGCTTTACTAATTAAAATATAAGGTGTATTTTAAGAATGTGAAGCTAAGTAAACTGGCTCCCACAATTAACTGGTTTTTTATTATGTATGTTTGCATTTACATTGTTGGATACTTACGAACTTAGTAACCGCTGCAGTATGAGATCATCCTCAATTCCGTCACCATCGAGGTTACCTACTCTACTGGTTCTAGGTGTTACAACTTGTTTATGTAGGTACTTATTTAGTTGTTTTCCTGCATAAATACTAAATGTAAATTAAATAACGCAGCTATTTTAGCATAAACATGCTAATTAAACATAGTAGGTACTTATGAACTTCCCTATAAGAACATAACATCACACCTAGGGTATTTAAGTCAACAGTGGTTGACTTGAATAACTGCTAAAAACTTGTATATCTACATGTCCAATCCGCGTATCAAATCCAAAGTATTGAATAACTAGCGCAGTAAAACGGGTGTTCTTTTCGAGACCAAATCTATGAACTTCGTCATCGTCAACAAAGTAATCAAAGAGGTAGTGCGTTAGGTCATAACGATAGATTGGTCTAATTGACCTAATTTATCTGTGTATAATGAAACTATAGGTAGACACGAACCGTCGACAAAACTGATAACAAATTACAAACAATGTTTCAACAAGTAAACATTATGACATTATAATTCATCACTTACACGCTATATCTATGCAAACGAATAAAAACTCTTGTTATTATTATGAACAATGTCAAGATTTGTCATGCAAAAACCACCGTTATGCCTTGGAAATAAAGGTGCTATTACCAAATCCTTCTTGTGATGAAGTAAACAAGAGAAGATAGGTTGACTGCTTGACTGTAGTCGTGGCAAATTATCGTTAATTGCTAATTATCAACCGGCCGGTGTTTGTTCTATACTTTTATTGAAGTCTAGCTAATTGTTAGCACTGTTTTTACCTTAGTATTTTGCCATTGAAATTGACCAGGAAAATGTTGATTCAAATACCTTATTAAACTTCAATTGCCTTATTTTAATACTTTTGGTATTTAATTCATTCAATGACTATAGGATCACTTCATATTTAAACTGCCAAAAATCATACTATTAGAAAGTTTGTAATGTATATTTGAATTATAACCCAATGTTGTGTACTTAAATCAACTAAAAATCGCGAGTTACACACGTGAATACATTGGTTGCAGCCTAGCCGCGACTAGGCTACGCGATATCGCCGCGACCGACGCTGAGGAAGAGCCCCTCTGTGGTTCGAAACTAGTAGAGCGTTTCTCAGTATTCACCTGCGAAACCGGCGATTTTTAGTTATTTTAGTATGTCTCGCGATAGTTATTATAAAAACATTGTGTATCTATGTAGTATTTATGTATGTTTGTTAGTCTGTCATGAAAAAACTGAGGTAAATTGACTTTACATGAAGGTACTTTTTATCCAGGGATTGCGGGCAAAACTGTAGATAGAAACTAAGCAATCAGTATTCTTCTCATTTCTAGTAAAATTATCCATGATGTGAATTAGAAACATGATACTACGGTATTAATTCCTGCAGGTAGCCATTTTGTTCTGCACTAGGTCGTGACTAGCTTACTAATAGACAGGGTGTGTCTAAATCTAGTGTGATTGGATTACTAACATTCTACTGAGGTTTTTCGAATACAAAAACGTTAAGTGTATTTTTAAAAACAAATGAACTATCTACTCTGAATATATATCTTACTGTGAGCATAGCTGTGAATAAAACTTTTTAACATAAATTACATATCTACATAAAACAAAAGGTGAACGTTAATATTTTTGAATAGTTGAAAACCAAAACGTCCTAACAAGAGGCGTCCGTTCGTAGGTGTTTATTCAAGTATTCTATATGGTCTACGTTTAAATCCGTCTGTTCGAGGATTTAAACACAGACCATATAGAACACGCCAAGATAACTTTGTGTTCAGATACACTCAACTACAGATAGGTAGGTAGAGGTTACAGAATTGATTTGATAGGATGACATCATCGCCTCGGACTACTTTCATAATAAGCGAAACAAACGCGACAGTCCTAGTGCGCAGGCGCCATGGACGCGTTTCTGCAAACTAGCTCGAAAACAACCTCTATACACGCAGCAATGAAAAACTTCCAATGACATAATCAAGTTATGAATTCGTAGGTGCAGAGCGGGGCGCTATAGCTCGCATACCAACACACCGGCCTATATTTAGACCTGTGTAAGAGACATGCCTCGAATGGAAGGCAATGGCCGTATGTCGTTAGACTAAATAGGAATCGAGGAAAGCACTAAGAACTGTTTACAGAATTTTAAATAGCTCATAAGCCATCGACCCGTTATTGGAATGCAAGGTTGCGAAAATAGCGTTGTTACTATCGAAACTCAAATGTAATGTATAGATATCTAAATTCATAATAATATGAAATTGTATGAGACTAGACTGACTGCGGAGCATGTTTTATAAATTAAACGAAAGTGAAAATAACTCCACACGTTACATAAATCAAAGCTAATAATAAATTATATACATTTGTAACATCGTACCTATTATATTATTAGCATTCAACTTATTCAATGAACAATTTTCATTAAAATGTGTTTTGTTGATTACAGATTTGTCTACCGAGGATAAACTCGAATACCAGTTCTTCCCGGTATCGAGCGGCTCCGTGTCGTTCAAAGTCAGGACCCCCAATGATGCCCACATCGCCCTTACCATGGGACCTCAACCAAGCGATCCAATGATTGAGGTGAATATACAACTTTTAATCGTTTTCACTTGAGGTCATGGTCGACAATAAGGAACACTTTGATTTTAGAACACAGACAACACATTCTGTTATACATAGATATAGGTACTTCTACCAACAATTCTTGTCGTATTATTCTGGGACACACTTGGACAGGGCATTATGTTGCCACTATAATTATTCTATCTGTCTTATCTCGTATCTACCAACGCACAAACTTACTGTTGTTCTATCAGTGCAACCAGTAAACAATAATTCTACATTTAATTAATTTTATTTCGACAGATTTTCCTTGGAGGTTGGGGTAACACAAAGAGCGTGATCAGGAAGAACAGAACTAAACCCGACAAAGTTGAAATTGAGACCCCTAACATCTTGAATGGTGGCGAATTTCGTGGCTTCTGGGTCCGTTGGGACAGTGGTATCATCTCCGCTGGCCGGGAAGGAGAAGCTATTCCCTTCCTCTCATGGGCTGACCCTGAACCATTCCCAATTGCCTTCTTCGGAGTGTGCACCGGTTGGGGTGCGACCGGCTCCTGGAAAATCGAAGGTAACTTTTTCAAATTAACCTTAAAATCGTTATGGCATAAAATGTACCCAACAAAATAAATTACCCCTTTTATTATCGGTACAGATGGGGCTGAATTCAATACTCCGGACCAGTTAGAGTATAAATTCGGGCCCGTCCTCTCGGGTTCTCTGAGATTTGAATATCGCGGTCCCCACAACTGCCATGTAGCTTTGACGCCAGCACCTGCTGAAGTGGACCCTATGTATGAAATCATGCTTGGTGGTTGGGAAAATACCAAGTCGGTTATTAGATACTGCAGGCAGAAACCTGATAAGGTAGGATAGAATGTCGTGATCGCCGGTATAATACTTGTTGGAACATTCCGTTAAACACTTACTGTTGGCCCGTAGGTTGAGGTCCCGACTCCAGGAATTATGAATCCTAACCAGTTCAGGCAATTCTTAATCGAATGGAAATGTGGCAGAGTGATTGTTCGCGACGGCGAGTCGGGCATGGTTATCATGGAGTGGGTAGACCCCTCACCATTCGGCATCACCCACTTCGGTGTGCGCACTGGTTGGGGTGCCCGTGGACAGTGGCGTATTACCCATTTCGGCAATGCCCACGCACAGCCTCGTTGAGTAAAATTTTATTAGAGGGAACGCTTTGGATGTTAATTGCTGACATTTAATCCGCATTATAATGCGTTTTATTTCTGATGTTTTTGTCGATAGATGAACTAAATTTTTAATCGCTGTCATCACCACCGTTAGACTAACAAAAATAAATATTGTGTTGTAAGAAAACTGCGTGTTTGGAATCCTGTCGTATGGTAAAGTTGTTGTTGATGTCTGCATCGGGATGTTTGTCTCGGATTGGTACGTTGGGTACATTTTGTGATTAAGCCTTTTTTATTATATGTTTTTCTCTTCCTTGGCCACGCATTTTCTTGTTATTTTATACTTCTTATTACACCTAGCACTTTAGTTAGTTTTTTTATACTAATTTATCATCTCCGCTACCTACGGTAAGTCCTTCCTCAACCAAATGAAGAAAAAACGTAATTTTATAACAAACAAATATTGTATTTATCTCAACATTGCTATTGCCATTTATATCTATAAAACAACGAGCATGTAAACAACTGGTTGGCTGATGTAGGTACCACAGCGACGCACCGACTTAATTCCCACTCTAATTGTATAATTAAAACAATACACTATGCACTGATAACTGTCATGAACTACTAAACTTCTGTAACCCACAAAATAACAGTCAATACTAATGGGTGAAAACTAGACACTAATTGTAATAAGTTAGTGTTCAGTAGGTACTTACTGGTTTATGTAAGTAAAGCTGTATAATAATTGTACTATAATACTGGCTACATGGTACAATTTTTCTAATTGCATCTTGTTTATGATTGTTGCCTGATTGCCTGCCTTTAGATGGAAAATACCATAATCTTGCTATACTTTCATTACCTATTTGTTTTTTTTACTTTTATTGTTTCATTGTGGAAGAAAGACTGTCTTAAAATTCTTCATCATTGCAATGAAACAAGGACAGAACTATGTTGTTATTATACAAAATTAAGTACTTACCTATTGTATTCCGCTTATCCTTACCTTGCATGTTTGTTTTAAAACTGGTTTACGATTGTTTGCATTATTTTGTAGTTCCCCCATCGGCGCCAGTGGCTGCACCCCTGTACGCTGCACCCCCCGGCTACCCTGGTGCTATGGGAGGCTTCAGTGCCCCAGTAATGGCTGGACCTGGCAACTGGGTTGATGCCAGTGCTGGTCAAATTCCCCCTGGTGCCGTCGTCGGTGGACAGGACTGCAGTGGCGAGCCTCTCTACGTTGCCAGAGCACAGCACGAGGGAGCTCTCATTCCTGGAAAGCTTTGCGCTTCACACGGTTGTGCGTACGTTCCATGGGGCGGTTTGGAACACGGCAAACCTCAATATCAGGTAGGTTTAATTACTAATTTTAGTTTATAGGGAGATAATGTTTTTAAACGGGTCATATGATCGTCATACAATTTAATCTGCAAGAGATTAAAGTTGGTCCGGTGATTAATTACCTATTATGTTATTTTCTAGGTCCTGGTTGGCGGCCCCAACAATTGGGTGCGCACTAACGGCTCGAACGTGCCTCCCAACGCGTTCCCCGGCGGTCAGTCTGAAGATGGCGAGCCCCTGTTCGTGGGCCGCGTGAACCACGAGGGCAGCCTCACTACCGGCAAGGTTCAGCAGTCGCACGGAGTGTGCTACATCTCCTTCGCTGGACAAGAGCTCGGCTTCCCCGACTACGAAATCCTCATGCACTAGATTATACCACCACTACCACCAGTAATTATTTAAGAATCTCATGATTTGTCAGTACCTACGTGTAACTTAGGAATACTGCTTCCACACCTAGACGAGCAATTAAATGGTACATTTAAATTGTGCCTAGAAATAAAAGTCATGTCACGCTGTGCCTGTTCGTACGTTGTATGTTAATTGTTGTAATACACTGCATAATATTATTCGTCTAAAGTTATTGTGTTATGAACCGCATAAATAACGGTAACTATAATATTTTTTGTTAAATTATTATAAAGTATTTACCAATTAATTATTATGTATTGTTTTATTTCATACTAGCTTTTACCCACAGCTTCGCTCGCGTCACAAAAGGATAAAAAGTAGCCTATGTGACATATACCAATACACACAGCGCCATCTATACCAATTCTTTTGTTTTCCTTCGGGAATATCAATTTTTTCCGAGATAAAAGTACCCTATTATTTAATCCGGACTTCTAACTTTACGTCTGCAAAATTTCAAAGCAATCGGTTTAATAGTTATGGCGTGAAAGCGGAACAAACAAACTCACTTTCTGATTTATAATATTAGTAAGGATATCCTCAAATAGGTACTTAAGAAATACGAGGAGAGATTCATACTTATAATTTACGACTGACTTTGCAGTCTAATTAATCTGGCAATCTGGAACTACTACTAGACAACAGAATAAGTAAGAAAGAACTATTGTTTGATAGTCTCTTTTTACAGTCAAACTCTAAAATGAATCTTGTTATCATGTCCGCCACAAGACTTCTACACATTTAAGTCTATAAATTATACTAACTTGCTAATAAAACGAAAACGTATTCTGATATTTACAGTTTCCCCAGTAATATTGGAACCGGTACCCCTTAAAATGTTTCCTGGTGATGGTACACTTCACTGGCTTCCTATGACCAATGGCCAATTACCTCCGGACGCAATGATTGGTGGCTTTGAAAACGAACTCACATACATAGCCAGAGCTTATCACAATGGGTCAATATGCCCTGGACGATATATCCCCTCCACTGGAAAAGCTTTTGTCCCCTGGGGCGGGAGAGCACATAGAAAATGCGAGTTTGAGGTAACTACAGAACGTCATTCCATACTTTTAACCAAGCACTTACTTGTATGTACCTGTTTTTCCTCCCAATTTCAACCACGAAATTGTTTCTACACATTTTCAGATTTTATGCGGATTTAATGCTATATGGGTTAAAACAAGATCGAACATCATCCCGCCGAACGCATTTATTGGTGGAAAGTCAGAAGTGCGAAACGAGCCTCTGTACATAGGACGAGCGATGATTGACCAAAATCTCATATCTGGGAAAGTGCACACCCTTTATCATCTCTGCTTTTTACCGTACAATAGGAGGGAAGTTGAAATATCTTCTTACGAAATATTAGTTATACCGGAGAATGAAATACCACAAGCTTTGCCCTTTACATATTAACTGGCAGCAATAGGTATGTACATATGTATAATTGCATATTTATGGCGCAATAACTGAGTGACTGGCTGAGCCTATCAATAATTCTCACAAGGAATAATCCTATGTAGGACTCAGAATTTCAGTAACTGTTGTTCCAATTTTAAATTATGTGAAATTGTAAGTTTGTTTGTATATGTCGTAGGATAATTTGATACTTCGAATCTTCGCGAAAATCCTAGGGGTTTTGCGAAAACGCGGATAATTAGACATAGGCGAAAAATTATCAAATCTTACTGGACAAAGTCAGGATTTTTGTGAAAATACTCGTTACTATAGTAAGATTTGATGTGCTCAACACTGATTGGCTACAATTTTGCTGGCTGACTTCTAATTGGTTCCTAGTTTGCCGATGATTAACTTCAAGTATTGTATCATAGAGTTATGAAGGTTTAGAATAGGTGAGAAAGGAAAATCACTGAATTGATTTTTATAAACTTTTTATTGAAAATTTTAGTATGTATGTTGTTTTCTACAGACAATAGGAGATCTCAGTCGTAGTAAAAAAAATGATCCAATTTTAGGGTATAATTCATAAATTGGATGAAACTGGTCGTTTAAGACGACGAAAAAACATTTAAGACGTCAACCAATCAGAGACGATCTCTTATTGAACGCGCTGACCGACCAATCAGCGTTCTTATTTCATAACCGCCAGCGTTTCGTTTCGCAATCTTACTATAGTAACGAGTATTTTCGCAAAAATCCTGACTTTGTCCAGTAAGATTTGATAATTTTTCGCCTATGTCTAATTATCCGCGTTTTCGCAAAACCCCTAGGATTTTCGCGAAGATTCGAAGTATCAAATTATCCTACGACATATACATTGGAGATGGAGACACAGAAGCTTTCAGTTTTGGGGCTATGTTTTTTTTTAATAAAAATACTTATATTATTTGTTTTATTTGACTCCTACTGACTAGCCTAATATTGCCCGAAATACCTAAGTACAGCACCTAATTTTCCTTTCTCTGTGAAGTGAAGTGAATTAACTTACTCAGTTGAACCTAGAAGGCATATTTCGTAAAGTGACTGTCATAAATTACGCGCTTCAAACATTATGGATGACATCTTATGGGCTTATGCGAAGAGTCAGCACGTTAATCTACAGCTACACCTCCTTTTAAGTTCCATCTATATACAGCACTAATTCTGTAAAAATTGAAAATATAAAAAAGTAGTGGTGCGGTGTTGCTAGATAAGTAGATACCGAACCCAAATACGTGATGAAAAAAATTTTTTGGTCTGTCTGTATGTACACACGTCACCCAAAAACTACTGGTTTGATTACGATATACAATATCCTGAGTTTCATTGGATACTTTTTAGCCCTAAAAAGTTATACAATAAAAACAAACTTAATTGTACCGCTCGATCCCTAAACATAATTACTGTACCAAACGCAAAAATGTATAAGTTTGTCGAATGCTAGGTTGCCCGCAGTGGACCTTAAAACTGCTGAAACCCTGGCTGAAACTGTACGACCGATTGTCGAAATTAGATTGAACCGCGAAAATATACAAACGAACATGTGTGAGTTTGTGTGTTTAAATGTATGTTTGTTGTTCAGTCACATCAAACCGGTTGAAGGGACAGAAGCTAGTGTTGTTATTATATCGGAATGAACTTATTGTCATACGAAAGGAAAAAATTCCTGATTCCATGCTATAGTTAGCATAACAGTTAAAAATTCCTAAATCTGAAAAATCTAATAATACCTGAACCGGGAATTGAACCCGAGAGCTACCCCTTGCTGTCGTGCTTGTGAACACTCGATTTACAAGGAGAATAGATTGTCAAAAAATATTATCTATTTAAGACGAATTTCGAAGTATGTAAAATAAAAAAAATCTCCAAGATTATTTAAGCGTCATTACTGTAGCTAAATATTGATTCGGTCTTGACCATGCCATAGACAATTTTTACTAAGAATACATAGACAAAGATACTAATAGAGTACGGTACAGTCATATTGGATCAGGGCCGTCACACTTAGAGCCATTGACAGCTTAAAAAATCGGACCGTCAACTACATCTAGTTTTCGAACCTGGAATTAAATGTTGTCAAAACTAATATTTTCAGTGGCCACACAGTTCCAAGCAAGGTTGCAACATTATTTTAAAATTTAGGCTTAAAATAATATTTTTTGGAAATAGTAAAATAACATTATACACATTTATTTATTACTATATTGCAATTTTTACAAAATAATTCCTTAAACTTAGATCAAATGACAGTTATGCTGGCATAATCGATCAAAGATGACAGCCTCTTTACTAATAGAGATTAAAAAGATATTAAGTGATGGATGACAAACTAAACTCTATGAAGTGACTGCGTCAGGTTTCTGCATCCAAAAGCATTAACCTAAGAGCCTGTGAACCTCAGATCTCGGCCACCGTTTTTATTATATAAAAACTAATATTATATGAACATACTCAATTTTCATAGAAAATCTATAAAATAGGTTGCACGCATTCTTTCTGTCTCTCTATCACACACACACACACACACACATTCACACACATACTTAATCTTTCTCGATAAATGCACTAACTCTATTTCGTTCAGTCATCATCTCTGATTTACAATTTGACAGCACCATCATTTTCACCACCCTCAAGAACCATGAAAACGACACCTATAACGATAAATTGAAAATATCGTGCAGCCGCCATCTTGGATTTGCATTTTGACAGCACCATCTTTGTTACCACCCTCGAAAACCATGAAGACGATACTCATGACAATAAATTCAAAATTTTGTGCATACGCCATCTTGGATTTACATTTTGACAACACCATCGGCTTTATCACCCTCGAAAACCATGAAAACGACACCCATGACGATAAATTGAAAATTTCGTACAGCCGCCATCTTGGATTTGCATTTTGACAGCACCATCGGCTTTATCACCCTCGAAAACCATGAGAACGACACCCATGACGATAATTCAAAATTTTGTGCAGACGCCATCTTGGATTTACATTTTGACACACCATCGGCTTTATCACCCTCGAAAACCATGAAACGACACCCATGACGATAAATTCAAAATTTTGTGCAGACGCCATCTTGGATTTACATTTTGACAACACCATCGGCTTTATCACCCTCGAAAACCATGAAAACGACACCCATGACGATAAATTGAAAATTTTGTGCAGCACGCCATCTTGGATTTACATTTTGACAGACCATCGGCTTTATCACCCTCGAAAACCATGAAACGACACCCATGACGAAATTCAAAATTTTGTGCAGACGCCATCTTGGATTTACATTTTGACACACCATCGGTTTTATCACCCTCGAAAACCATGAAGACGACACCCATGACGATACATTCAAAATTTTGTGCAGACGCCATCTTGGATTTACATTTTGACAACACCATCGGTTTTATCACCCTCGAAAACCATGAAACGACACCCATGACGATAAATTCAAAATTTTGTGCAGACGCCATCTTGGATTTACATTTTGACAACACCATCGGTTTTATCACCCTCGAAAACCATGAAAAGGACACCCATGACGATAAATTGAAAAATTTTGTGCGCACGCCATCTTGGATTTACAATTTGACAGGACCATCGGCTTTATCACCCTCGAAAACCATGAAAACGACACCCATGACGATAAATTCAAAATTTTGTGCAGACGTCAGCCCTGTTCATTTCCATTTGCTGATTTACTTTATCCAAGTTTTCGAAGATATTATTCATAATAGCTAGTCATTAATTGATTAATTACTAGTCATTACGAATAATATCAAATTAATCACTTTGGCTGTAACATATGTATATACATTTAGGTCAAACTGATACTCCTTTTTTAAAGTCGGTTAAAAAAGAATCATCAAAATACGTTAAAAAACGACGAAGTCATCCCTGAAGGAACATAAAAAAACCTTATAGGTATATAACTTTTCCTTTTTTTAAGTCCGTTATAAATAACAAAGGTCTGGGGTTCATAGGCTCTTGTACTATATGGATTGTCAAATTATTATTTTTTACGGCAACGCTGGGGCTAAAAAAATATTAAAACATTACAATAATAATTTTCCAAATTATTTAGATAATAAATAACTATTAAAATAATATTGTTAATAATTAGATATTGATATTAAATACTTTTTTATATTATCTCCTTATTTCTATAAAATAGTATGCATAGTTTGTACTATTTTAATACTGGCATATAATATGTATACTTTTTGCTTGATAAAGAAAAGAAACAAAAACAAAAATTTGAAATGTCAAAATTGTAAAAATTTTTGCCAAAAATATTTTAAATTATTTAATAATTTGTGATGGGATTTTGTGATTGTTTTTCTAAAAAAGGAAGTTCTGCGATGCGTGTTGTGTTTTCTATAAAGGACCTTTTGTATACATGTGTATCACAAATCACAAAAGTACATTGTGTTTGTTTGTCTATTCATTGGACTTGATTTTACAAAGGAACGCTTTAATTTGCGTATATATCTTATTTATAATAAAGAACATCAATACGAAGAATACAATCATGTTGCTGAAGGTAAAACCTACAACAAGTTTATGATTTTTGCTATTGAACCTATTTATACATTTTATTTGATTCATTGAGATACCAAACTATGTAGTTTTTATAAATTTCTACTTTTTCTTTTGTATATTTGTTACAGTGATATTTGGAATTGCTATTGCATCGATATTACTTCAGCATCATCATTGCAGAATATCAATAGTGCAATTTTTTATCGGCAGTTACGAGTCTTACGATGTCCGGATAAAGTGCCGATCTATACCAGCAGTGCTTGAAACCTATTTTAGAGATGGTAAATACTATATTATTCTTGTAACATCAGTAATATCACGTAAGGTACACCTACCTTAGATAAATAAAAGAAAACAAATAAATAAAATACATATTTCTGCATGTAAAAATAATCTTTGTTTTTTTTTCAGGTACTATTTGGAATTATTCTAACATTCAGACGTATATTGTTGTCTCAAGAAACCCATAGATCGCTGCAAATATTAAAGCCGTATTATTTTTGTAAAACTATTTTTATCTTTGTATTAATGTATATATCATAATTAGAACAACATTTTAAGTACCTACGCACAACAAAGTAATATTAAATTATAAATAAACTAAAATAGGTACATATTCACACCTTAAAAAAAATGTTACCTTAGGGCATCAAAAAATTCTTTTTCATCGCTATCGTGGAGTAGGGTGCCCAAAAGACTGGCAGCATTATTCTAGGTTTTACTTATTTGTATTCATATATGTAGAGGTCTCTCCTTCTTGGGCTTGACCTGGTGAAAATGGGCACCGCTTCCCGCAACCCGCAGGAAAAACGATGACTACTTGACTACTAACTGGGTGTAGTTTGTGTGCCAGATGTGGATTGTGAGCTCCATGTGATGGTTGACTGAGTGGTATGTGGTGTTTGCGCTTGAGATGGTTGTAATTGATCGGAATCTGGAATGTATGTGACGAAAACTGTGTCTCCTAGTACTTTGCTAAGAATGATTATTGTGTGAATGGTGGCTAATGTCTATTTATGTTTCTAGTTTGTCTGTGTATCTGCTGAGGCTTTTGGCTAGTACCTACTCCTGTGGCTCCAATTACTATAGAATTAACATGCGTTTCAATATTTCAAGGCGTCTAGCCTTGAGTTGTGTCTTTAAAAAGTGGTATTTACTGAATTTCTTTTGCTCCTATGTTGTAGTTACATGGTACAGTTATGTCAAAGAGGTATGTGGTGTTGGATGTTTTGTTTGTGTATATTATGTCTGGTCTGTTGTGGGCAACTGTGAAGTCTGTCTGAATTGGGACTTCCCACATTATTTTGCCTGTTTCATTTTCATTTGTATTTATAATAATAATATTACTTTGTTTCATTATAATGTTATAAAAATATTATATTTGAGGATAGGAAAAATCTGTAGTTGTTTAGTAAAAATGTCTGTAATATAACTAGATATAGAAAACGACTAAGTCAGGCATTATTAGCAACTAGCAAAAAAAACTACTAAAAAACTGAGACTGACTGAGAGGCAGACTGAGACTTATTTTTAAGCACTATATTTTTCGACATTATAATAATAAGTGCGACTGCCGGGCAAGGGGTCTCGGGTTCGATACCCGGGTCGGGCAAAGTATTACTGGGTTTTAAAAAAATCTCAGTAGTAGTAGAGTAGTCTGGAAATGTGCCCGGTATATGGCAATAGGCTCACCCCCTATTACATGGGTCTTATAACATAAATAGTGAAAAGTGGGTGTAACATTGTACAGTGGCATTGAGTGCCGAAATGTGCACCTCTGCCTACCCCTTCGGGGATAAAAAGGCGTGATGTTATGTATGTTATGTTATGTAAAATGTATAATAATTTTGTGTTTTCGTAAATACTGTAAGCGATTCAAATCGATGGTAAAATGTACTACATTTGTGTATTACGGTATTACGGTTAATTTATATTACTGTTAGGTACTGTGTAAACAACGGTGAACAGTAAATATTTTTAATTTTAGTTCTTTGGGATCAATAATTAAAAAAATAACTAATTCAAATAAATTTGTAAACATAAAATTAAAAAGAACTAAAATTTGAATTATACTTTGAACAAATCTGTCGTCTGATATTTCCCTACTAGCTGATAATTTTTAAATGTTAATTTGTATTTTCTGTAAAATAAATGTAATATTGTAATTAATAACTTCTTTGATTTTGCAGCTACCAGACATAGCTAATTCCAATACTACCTTCAATGTACCAACCTGCAAGGTGCATTGTTGGTAGTATTGGCATTAGCTATACTTAGGATTATCTGTAGACATTAGTAAAAAAAAAAATATACTAGGATTCAATTTTCAGATGGCGTTTCAAATTGATTGGCATAAATTTTGACGAGTGGTAACTCTTTACCCCTATACTTATTATACTCTTTGTATTGGATTACGGGATACCAAAACAAAACATCTATTTGGTAAATAATGTAAATACATAATAAAACAGTGTTGCGTCCCAGTCCCGGCGTCCATTTTATTATAAAAAAATCTTAGGTCGCGTCACTCCGGGTTCGGGTTGTTTACTATTCGAGTTGGTTTGAGTAATTCTAATAGGTTTTGAATACGATTCTCATAAAACCGGCAAGTGTAAGTGGTATTGAGTGAATAATTAAAACTACTGTGCAGTTTGATATTTAGTTTTGTTTACCAGTTTTTACACAAAATAATGGGTGATATTCTAGGTAAGTTCTTAAAAAATAATGTCTAAGGCTTAACAACAATGAATAATTGATATAAATAAATCATGAATAAGTGCTAAATTGCACCATATTACAACTTTGTTTAAAGTATGCGTCATATCTTTGCAGAAATTACGACACGGCCGCGGCATCACCATGTTTTCTACAAATTCACAGCCAATGCAATCAACTTTGAAATTAAAGCCCAGGGCAATGCAGCCCTTGGGATATCTAATAAACCAGAGCAGAACTGTGAATTTTTGGTGGGTGTATAACTAAAATTATTTATTTCAAATATTGAAATAATCAAATTAGACATAACATGTTCAATATAAAGAATTATTTATACCCGGGTCTGTCGGAATGAAGATCTAAAGAACAACAATGTATTTTTTTACTGTTTCATACACTGACGGATGTTAAGGTAAAGCTCCATAATTAAATATTTGTAACTCTACTTCACAGATTGGTATAGGTCACAACAACCAGACCTGGATAAAGAAAGTTAGAGGGAGAGGAGTCTATAGGGAAACTATAGATACTCCGAATATTTTGTCTACCACAGAGTATAGAAGATTTTGGGTTTCATGGTATGGAGACATTATACGCTTGGGAGTGAATGGTAATAGCAAGCCTATAGTAACATTTAGCAGCAGGACCGCAGAATTAAAATATGTTACTTTCTTGGCTCTTGATGATGTCAGGAACACTGTGCACTGGAGAATTGAAGGTGAGTAAACTTGTGGTTAACAACGTGAAACTCTGAAATTATTAACCAAAATAAAAAAAGTTGGTTTTAGTTTGACCTATAAGTGTGTTTGTGTCTGATTATCTCATGATTGGCAGGACCAATGTGATGTGGGTTTCAGCAAAGTGTATGTTAACACTTAGGAGAAAGTTATAATGTATTAATAAACAAACCTCAAAAACAAAGAGGTTGAAGTTGGATTTTTTAAATTTACTTGTACGAAAGAATTACATTTTGATAGAATGTTTTTGATAGATTTCCATTTTGTTGATGTAAAATACCTATTCTTATAAGAATTTTACAACATTTTTTAAATCTGCTATACATAAATACAATAATGAATATATTTCAGTGCCACCATACATAGAAAAATCATATGTTATGCAACCTATTTCCGGAGGTGACCCATTTTGGGCACGATATGATCGCACACATAACTTCCCAGACAATGCTTACATTGGTGGACATGAAAATGAAAACTTATACATAATAAGGGCTGACCACAATGGGTCATTGACTCCAGGAAAGTATATGAGCTCAAAAGGAATGGGCTACATTCCCTGGGGAGGAGAAGCTAATTCTAAACTCACATTTGAGGTAAGACATTTTTAGTGCTTCATTACATAGAAAAATGTAATTTTTATTCTTTGATTTAGTTAAAGTACCATTAAGTTAGTTATTGGTTCTCTAAAAAACAATCAGCTAATTTTTGAAGTCGGTAAAAAATAAAAAATTGCCATTAATATTATGATATTGATTGCCACCAGATGACATTGCAATTCTCATACAAAATTCTAATTTGTCACCCCAATGCATAGTGTTGAGAGTATGGAATAATTGATCTATTTACCTATATTCTTGAATACTAGTATTTTTTTTATATAGAGTTTAATATTTATGTTATAACATTCGTGAGACATACTAAATTGATTATTATGTATTTGGCTTACTCACATAAAACGCGTCGCGGGTGGCGGAATGCTGCTCACGAATATGAGCCTTTAGCATGGCTTGAAACTAGTTGAATTCCTCGTCAAGTAATTACGTAAGCCAGAAACATTAAAATTAATTAATATTAATGTAAGATAAGTGTGTAATAATGTGTATGGTTTGTTTTAGGTGCTATGTGGATTTAATTTTACTTGGTTGCCATGCAAAAATACTGATGCTATTCCCGTCGGAGCTGTAGTGGGTGGTTACTCAGAAGATCCAGGAAAAGAGAAACTGTACATTGGAAGAAGTAAATATTTAGAGCACTTAATTCCGGGCAAAATTCAACCATCACACAAAGTCTGTTATGTGCCGTTTGAAGGACGAGAAATAGGCTTGGACAAATTTGAAATACTGGTTGTGCCTGATGATGGTAAGAGATGTGTTAACAAGTTCCTGATCCCTGGCGCACCAATTGACCATCGTTTTGTTTTTCGTGAAGAAGAGCAGATGAACATGGACATTGAACATGCCGTCAATTTCGAAGAGTATGCTGGATTTTTAAATCCAGAAGTTGATGGTTGATGGCCATAAGGGTATTTGATATTACAAGGAAAGTAATGTAGGCTCCTACTTATAGTAATTAAGGACATATTCGTAAATATTTTACCTTATTGGTATTTTTTACTTTTATTACTGCCGGAGCTTAAGAATAACGCCTTGCCCTTTACGTCAGGCAATAAATTCTACTCAAGCAACTAAGTGTGGACTGCTTATCAATAGAAAAATAAATATTATTCGTAATAATTAATTATTGTTTTTTGTTTCATTTGAAGCATTCATGACATGTCTACTATCGATAGTCCCGAAATTGTGTAAATTCGGGAATCGATAAAATATAGGTAGATATAGACTACAATAAATAATGAACACAGATATACCTAATAATGAAATAAAATTTTTAGAATACCTAAAATTTTAGTTCATACATACAGTACAGTCATTATAGACACAATTAAAGAACAATAGGTTGCGGTCACCGGTGACCTCGCGGTGTTTGACAGTTTAATGCATAACAAGTAACAACTTCGAAAAATAAAAAGGTAAATAGTTTTAAAAAACTGACTTGAAAACTAAAAACCTGTGATTTGCATGTAATGACTGCTACTTGTATGTAATGATGGCATGAGGCATCAAAAAATGTAAAATGAGAGTAAAATTAAAAAACAATTTGTTGCTAATTAAAAATTATATTTTTATAAAAGACAAGTTGCAATAAAAATTAAATTCAATAAAATAAATTAAAACATAATATATCTAGGACGAGGTATTGGATATTCTGATTCTTCACCTGGTGTCACTAAGATTTCATAAATATCTACTTCAATTTCTTGACCATAGAATGGTAGATAGCACAACTTGTAATGTATATGGACCTTTCCAGAAACAAGTTTGCTTCCTAACATGGCCCTGCCAATATATAGAGGTTCATTATTGACTTCGGAAAATCCAGCAACAAAAGAATTTCTTGGAATGTGATCAGCTCTTGTTTTCATCCATTTAGCATTAAATCCACATAATATCTGAAAAAAAAAATAGATTTATAATTTAAAGTAAGAAAAAAAAATTATAATAATATTATATTTATTTAATATAGTACCACAGTACACTGTGGTACATCCTGTACTGTCAATTCAATTCAAAACTATTTTAGACGCTAATTTTATGTTTAAATAGTATATTCTATATTTCACTGATATTTTTATCAGTTAATAATAATAACTAAAGTATTATACCTCAAAGTTTTCTTTCGGATGTTCCATGTGTCCCCAAGGAACAAATGCTCTACGAGTTGATGGTACATATTTTCCAGGACATATGGAATTATTATGTTCAGCTCTGGCTATGTAAGTAGGTTCTGGTTCAAAGCCACCAACCATTGCATCTGGTGGTAATACACCATCAATCATACGAACCCAACGAAGTTTTTCATTAGGAAATAATTTTTCATCAATCGGCTTCAGTAACACTGGTGAAACTGTAAAGAAAAATATTATATTTTAAATATATTTTACTATGAACATGTATTTTGTGTGAGATTATTAACCTGCTTATTAATTAAAGGATCAACAAAATATATTTATCATTTTCGTATTATTTTTCAGTTCATTTTTTTATGTTGTATGCTTGCACTGTGTCACAGACATAACGCGAGAACTAACTAGTCTAAACCTTTACCACTGGGCCACCAAGATACAGGCTGTGCCTAGTTTGGGGCCCACGGGAACCTCTGTCGTATTTGCATTTATATGAATGCTGTTCGCTTCCATGTCTACATGTAGTCTAACTTGTGTATGCCAATAAACTTTATTTTTATTATTTGTTATGTAACAAAAGTCTTTGTTTTAATCTACTCTTTATAGTTACATTCGTAAATGAACTTACTTTCAATAATCCAATCCACTGGGTGTTCTGGTGTGCTTTGAGTTCTGTACGAAATATATCCCACAACAGGACGATTGTAAACATCGTTAAATTTAACATATGGTTCTTGCCCTAGTAAACTTATTGTAAGTTTGTTACTATACCAAGTCACACAAAATTCATGGTACTCGGCAAAATTTTCAATGCCACTGGGAAAACTCTGTTCATTGTTATCAAGTAAACTCATGACCTTGGTTGGTTCTCCAATTGTAATCTGAAATCAAAAAATCGTAAAAGTATTTTTATTTGTTTAACTTCTTTAAAGTGTCTAAGCACAACTGTAAATACTGAATTTTTGAAACCTTAACATACTGCAAAATGTTAAGGTTTCAAAAATTCTATATTATAGCATTGAGATCATCAAAATTGGTGTTTGTGTATGGCAATTAGAACAGGAAGGACTCATAATGCAACTAAAAAGATGCCTGCATTGAGTCTGGTCCGATTTCTGAGTCACATAAAGCACTATTGCGATGTTCAAACATTTTCATAGTAGAATGAAGTCTGGAATTGTACCCTGTGTATGGCCATATATTATGCTCACCCATTACTAAATATCGCATAAAAATAGTTGATGTTATGTTTGATATACATAGGTAACCTTCTAGGAACAAAATGTATGATGTTATGTTAAGGAAAGTGCTATACTTTTTATTTACACACCTTGTATAGGCCAAGGTTAAAATCTTGGTATGATATCAGTTTAATTTCAGCAGAAGTTCCAGTGGTCCTCATTTTGAATCTTACACAACCACCAGTAGCCCGGTACATTGTTTGGCGGTCATCTTTAGTTAAGACTGAAAATAAAAACAAATTCAAATATTGGCATCCTGAATAGGTAAACTAAGCTTGCACTCTGTAGCATAATATACAGAACCAATTATGTTAATTTACTTCTACAATGAATGATAAATGATGCATTACTTTGGAGTAAACACTAAAAAGCCCTAGTTTCAGCCCTTGGAAAACATAAATAATAAAATTAGTCATCTTGGAGTATTTCCCTACCTTAGTTCAGTCATATTATTATTACCCAAGTAATGTAAAAGTGCATCATCTAATTAGGCCTTTACAGTATCATTCAAACAAAATGTAATATTGTGTGATTTCATGGATTTACTGGACATTTTACAGTAAGATAGAAGTATGCTCCTAAGAAAAATAATAACAATGAGTAGGTAGCATTGTCCACAGGCATGGGTACTTGCCCGTTAGGTCCGTCTAGTATGTTTATGATCATGACTTACCCCTCTACCCCCCAATCTATTACCGTAGATTAACTAAAAAATAACCCAGCGGCAGGTAAATCATTAATTTATTCTTTAAATATTATCTTTCTACAACTGAAAACATAATTATTAAAATACACAATATTGTCAAAATGTTTCATGCACTTAGCTTTAAAAATAGTTTGATTTTATTTCTTTTGTCAATTCTTGTTGTTTAATATATAAACAAAATAACTTAAAATATAAATAACTAAAAACTTAAAAATAAAACATAAATTATACTTTAAAAATAAAAATGCAAATGGGACAAAATTGGGACATTGGCCTTTCTAGTGTTAATCCTAGTATACTTTTTAATCATAAGATCTTTAGATTTGGATCTAGCTTACATCAAGTGCATAATCATAGGTTTAAATTGGAAAGAAAATTGGAGGTAGCCAAAAAATTAGGGCTATAAAAAATTGGGCTTAGAAAAATATTCCCAGTTTCTAAATAAATAATTGTAATCAATAGATAAAAATATCAACAACGATATGGTGCATGCCATTTGGTTACGTATTAGATAATTTAAATTGATTAACGTGACACACTTATCGGCATGATCAACTCGACAACTTTATAGGTATTTTAGAATTACGATGCTGATTCATTTTCAGGAAAAAAAAGTAGATCCAAAAATCTTGTGGATATTAGATAGGTACGTAGGGAAAAGATAATACGCTGAAGTTTTTTTTAATATGACATTGAAACAATAATACCTACATGGTAAATGGGGGCCTTATAATAAAATAATATATTAATAGTGTTTACCTTTGGAATCACACATGGCTGTATTATTTATAACAATGTTCAGGTAAAAGGTAAATTATAAAAGATCAAACACAAACAACTCCAGCAATTTATGTGCTGCGAATGAGTTATACTTAACATTGTGCAATTCTTTAAATATTATTTTTGTTTATCGCGGGTAACAAATCATACCAACATGACGTTTCCACGACGTATATTAACAATATTGACATCACGATTTGACATTCGGATCAATGTTGCCATAATCCTAATTCTTATACAGTGAACAAACGAGTTATTTTAAAGACTACCAACTCTGAACCCAAAGATACCTATTTTTCAGAAATAAATGGCACCATGGATTTCGAAAGGTTACTAAAACGTTAAATAATCTAACAGACTTGTTTATACAATAGTAGTTGTTATACTTGTAATAAGTAGGTTTTTCAAGTGGGGGGGGGGGATCATCGAATGGCTTTTCCCACCTGGGTTAAGCGGGAGGGAGTATCAGACTTTTACTGACTAAAAACAACCCCGGACGGAGCCCCGGCAACCCGTTAAGTCCTCCACGGCTCCGTATCGGCAACAGCTCTATTGGGCCCCATCCGTGGTATCCCCATCTGATGGCTCTTTGAGCTCTTTTCCATACGCTCGGATCTGGTTATGGTCCGGCGGCGAGCTACCTATGCTCGCCGTCCACAGGCCCGCGCTTACGGTGGCCAGAGATCGAGTAATGGGTAGGTACCACCATTATATAACTACCATGTGTCAATTTTATCACAATTGCCTATTATCATCAAAAAATATGCTTGCGCTCCCTTCGCTCGCTCGGACAGGATAAGGAAAGAACTTGTCTTGTAAGTGGTCGGTGGTATTAAGGGGAGGGAGATGATATTCTTAACCATAACAAATGCCCTAATAAAAGTTATTTTTCTCCCTTTACTAAATTATAGTAAAGATGTTTAAATTATAGTAAAAATTCAGTACCTATTTATAAATATTTACTATTTATCCCAAAACACGCGTATTTCTACGTAGGTACCTAATAATGCCCTTTATTTCTAATGCCGACCTTGTCCTTAGTTTAAGATATTTTGCGCACCACAAATTTAGCAAATATTTGGTCCTTCGGCTTATAAGTCTGTGTGTGGCACCTGATTACTATATTATAGACACGCAGAACATACACATACTCTGGTAACGTGATAACCCAAAACACATGCATACATTGCATACATAATTAATCCACTGACATTTCGGTGCACCAATCATTTCTCAGTGTATTATGTCCGCCATTTTTACAACGTCATTGCTAACAAATATAAAAAGTGAAGATGTGGGCAGAGTATAATAAGTATAGGATGTGGGTACCTCACAAACTGACTCATTAATAAACGGTATTATTTAGCTTACCTCGTTTGTTTATAGGTACCTTCCTATAAGGATTTAGTCAGTTTTTTTTACTTGGTTTTCTAATGTCTCCAACTAATACCTGAGTCAAAACTTAATTGGTGTAACTATTGCCAAACGCAGATTACGACTTATTGTACACACGGCTACACATCGAGCTTTACATTTCCAGTATAAACTGAACGTTAAATGTGCGGAAAGATGATGCGACGCGACACCAGGATAAACTGGTTTTGTATAGATTGATGTGTGGCCGTGTGTATCTAATAAATGGCCGCGTCGCCATCAAAAATATTTGCACCATCACACTATTATCTATCACTGTCACTCGCCAACATAGTTACGGAACTTCATCATTATCATCATTAACAGGTTATAAGTGGCCACTACTGATCAAAGGCCTCTTCTCAGACGGAGAAGGTTTGAGCATTAATCACCACGCTTGCTCAATGCGGGTTGTGATTTCAAACTTAATTATAATTAAAAATTGTTTTTTTTTATTCAGCGTTTGTCAGCGGTGTCTAGTCTAAATAATCTTAGAAAGTACATTTAACTCGGAAAAAGTCACATTGGTAATTTGCCGTTGGTAAGAATCGAACCCGTACCCTTGTGCATGAGAAGCGGGGGTCTTGAACTTTTGGGCCACAACAACAACGTTGCGGAAATTAGTGAAACTATTAAGTGTGCAGTCCTAAATCGCGATATTAATGTTTTCGCACTGTTTGCTTATGCATCAGTGACGATTTAAAAGTGGTGGGGAGTCCGTTTTTCCGCAGGAAGGTAGTTTAGTGCTGAAGCTACTCAAAGTTCAGTACCCATCTCCGGCATCTATAGTGTTTTAAAACGCACACCGCCTGTTAACTCGAGGCGCTTGATGTAATACAGTACAGGAATATTATTACTAATTAATAATATTAGTATTAGTAGGTAATAATGGTAATATTATTAACAATTAATAATATTGCAGACTGAATCGTCAGGCCGGGTCAGGGTCATTACAGGCAACCAGTAAAGCAATACCATATTTAGACATGTGGACCAGCAGATCCTCAACGCTGCTGGCCCACATGTTTAGGTATTACAACCCCACTGCGAAAAAACTGCGACTTCCTTTTTGATTTTTTGTATTTCATAAATTCACATTACAGCTGTTCCCACGATTTCCCTACAGCTCGACTAGGATCAAGCATAGATTTCTTCATTTTGATATGCGAACTTTATGCAGACTCATATTGTATAAATATGAATTACTGGCTGAATAACTGACCTGAAAGAATAATAAGATTAGACGCTTGAAATGAACGTCATTCTTGAAAATGCAAGCAAATCGAAAGAACCTAATGTTATACGCTCAATTTTATTAATAACTACAACAAAGAAAAGGACTGTTTCTAAGATAAGATAGCAAAGAACAAAGCAATTCAAGATGTCTGGCACTGGCACTGGCACACCGTCAGAGCTAGCTACAAGCGAAATGCCGGTCTCCGAGCCCGAGGCGGAAGAACCAGAGGGTAAATAGTAATTAAGTTAATACATTTATTTCATACAGTGATAGACCTACCTACTAGATTTACAGACCTTCCTACCAGATTTATTGTAAGAAAATGAGCAGTTTTTTTTATAGTACAAACAAAACCAAAAGCTTACCTACATTCCCTGACATAATTAGTAATAATTACTAAGTAGGTTTAAAAGAAAATTACGGAAATACTACAATTTATTTTTCACTACAATTATGTACACAGCTACGCCTGCTCCGAAATTATCTACGTTCCCTCCATACCCGCCTTACGCCACGGAGGTAGTACCGCCGTCAGTGGCAGAGGCAATCATCGCTGGCCATGGCCTGAGGCTGCAACACAAGTCCATCCCACGCAAATCTATAAAACCTCCTCCGAAACCAGCTAGACCCAGGTAATAGAAAATCCGAGGCATTAAGATATTATAACATAACACCTTTTAATCCCTGAAGACGCAGGCAAAGATGCAAAATAATGTTACGCACGAAACTGTTTAAGTAAATTATTAAATTAGTAACTTAACCCGTCGAGCGTCCACGTTCCTTATTGGCACACGAAAACAAGGATCATTACAATAGAAATAAAAAATACAGTCAAAATAAAAACAAAACATTAATAATAGATTTTATAAAAGAAAAAGCAGCATGGAGCATTTTTTCTTATGATCCACCGGGTGCTCATAATGACGCTCGAGGGGTTAAAGTACCTAAGTAAACTTGTAACTTCTACCTACTTGCAACTTAAAATAAATAACTTAAATTTTTAGTTGGCGATAAATAATCCTTATTGTTACATAATCGCTTGCAATTATTTAGTAAAGGCTTATCGAGCAGCATATTTTGTTTAGCCTGAGTAAGTATGATTGCAAGTCTCAAACGTGGCCTTTGTTCAGCTTCTTTTGTCTAGTGATCATGAATTGTATGTTAAGCGTGTTTACTACAGGGGTCCCAAAGCAACGGATGTGAAGATGACAAAAACTGCATTTCGAGCCCACGCCCGCTGTCTGCGCAAACATGGTGCGATCCTCACTGACCGTCTCGAGCGCATGTCCAAGCCAACGCGACGCTCCATCATATACTTGTGGCGGGAACACGCTAACACGCTACCTCCAGAAACGGTAACAGAGATCAAAATAACATAACATCACGCCTTTTATCCCCGAAGGGGTAGGCAGAGGTGCACATTATACCACTGTACAATGTAACACCCACTTTTTACTATGAGTCCTATGTAATAGGGGGTGAGCCTATTGCCATATACCGGGCACAATTCCAGACTCCGTGCTACTACTGAGATTTTTTTTAAAACCCAGTAATACTTTGCCCGACCCGGGAATCGAACCCGAGACCCCTTGCCCAGCAGTCGCACTTGCGACCACTCGGCCAACGAGGCAGTATATATATATCATAGTAATTATTTCAAGTTTACATTTACACCATTGTTGTGTGAGTATAAAATGTACTCAATGGTGATGACTTGCGATTTTTCATGTGTAACATCATCAAAAGTTTAAGGTTCCGTATTTTTTTTAATTAATCTACCAACCAGGCATAAGAAATCTAGCCGAACGACGACGAACTCTGACTCGTAATAAAAATCCTTAGAAGGTACATTTAATCACTTGATATTTATGCATAATCTTAAGAAAAATATTCAAAATTTGTCCATGCAAAAGTAGTCACTAGTTATCGGAAATAAGGTCTATAATGGAGTGAGTGGACAGCGGTCACCGGATACCGCTCGGGGATTAATCATTAAATCTAAAATAATCTAATATCATAAATTTATGTTTGTGTAGATTGCTCGTCTCCGATCAATGTTAGACGCCGACGAACCATTCAAACCAGATCAGGCGTACGAATATTTTATCAATTTGAAAAAAACTCAGAAGAAAGCTGCTGCGTAAGTATAAGTTAGATTTTAACTTAAAATAATGATTCATCAAAATAACCGACGAACGACATAACATCACGCTTTTTATCCTCGAAGGGGTAGGCAGAGGTACACATTATGCCGCTGTACAATGTAACACCCACTTTTCACTATTTATGTTATGAGTCCCATGTAATGGGGGGTGAGCCTATTGCCATATACCGGGCACATTTCGAGACTCCGTGCTACTACTGAGATTTAAAAAAAAACCAGTAATACTTTGCCCGACCCGGGACCCCTTGCCCGGCAGTCGCACTTGCGACCACTCGGCCAATGAGGCAGTCAAAATAACCATAAGGCACTAAACACTACCTAACTAATCTTTTTATTGTAGCACATCACAAATTAATGATATTAAGAAAGATATGTTGGCTATGGTCGGCGAAAAAAGGTTCGTTTGGGCAAAAAATGCTACTGTGGCATTTGCTAGGGGCATTCAACAACGATTATCCAGGCCTGGGCGTTATGCACTCGCTGATGGGTAAGTGTTCTTAACCATGTTTCAAATTATAATAAACATCCTTGACACTTTCACACAATAAGTAACAATTAATATTAAATAAAAAAAAAATTATTTTCAAACATAATAGTCTAGAAATGTACAGTATTGCGTAAAGCTATATAAAGTTCACAATATAAGGTGCCTGAACTAGGACATCCTGTGTTTCAGGCGAGGTTAGGTAATAGTAATAGACATTGTTATATAATCACTAGTACTTAAATGCTCATAAGTTAAGGTAAATTATGACAATATTTAGTTATATTTATGCATACTGATATAAAGTAATACTTAAATTCTATGCTTAATATGTATATAAATTAGAGATTAGGAGCTTACGTTAAGTATTATTTAGGAACTAATAATAACTTCTCTGTGTCTTCATAGGACATGTCTTGAAGGGCTTTCTTTAGAATTTTCTTACAGTTACGGATGCTATGGGGGTAAATCCATAAGGTTGCATTTAGTCTATTGTATAGGAGTGGTCCAAGAAATACAAAAAATTTGGTAATAAAAGCGTACAAAATATTAATGTAGGAAATAACCTAACAGCGACATGTACTCGCCTAGTAGTATACCTCTATAATACATCTATGTATGTACATTGTGCGATAAAAATTAATAAATCCTTACTAATCCTTATCCTTACTATCCTTACTTCCTTACTATCCTTACTAATATTATAAATCTGAAAGTGAGTTTGTTTGTTTGTTTGTTTGTTCCACCTTCACTCCGTAACTACTAACCGATTGCTTTGAATTTTTGCAGACGTAAAGTTAGAAGTCTGGATTAAATAATAGGGGGTATTTTTTATCCCGGAAAAATTTGGTATTCCCGAGGGAAAACAAAAGTATTGGTATAGATGGCGCTGTATGTATTGGCATAAGTCACATAGGCTACTTTTTATCCTTTTGTGACGCGAGCGAAGCCGCGGGTAAAAGTTAGTAATTAAATAAATCCATTCGCTATTCTGCGTAGTACGCCTACGCCGTAGTCCACTACGCCGTAGCACTATAAACTCTCGGACTCGTCACTACGAGTACGTTAATTACATTATTTCGGACCTTTATACAGAATGTACTACTATAGTACTATAATATCTTATTTAGCGTTATATACTGCGGTAGCTTACGAAATATTTGTGATTAGATAAAGGGTCCATGAAAATAACCGTTTTATTTTTGCTGCAGAATGCTAAGGTTGTCGAACATTATTATGGATGAAATTTGTGGTTATATGCACATGAAAACTCCTTCGAGGCGGAATACGCATCCAAAAGCAAAGTTCATGATGGAGATATCAGACAAGGTATACAGTACAACTCTACAGTAGACGTTAGGTTACTTATGCTATATTACTATCTATACTCAATATTTTATTTGGTAGGTTGCAGTTTGGATCGACGAAATACTATCAGAATCAGATGACAGGATGCTAATGATGGACTTCGATGAAGACGACGGTAAGAGTGCTGTAGTATACGTACTTTGAGAATAGCGGTTTAAGGAACTATTGTCAACATTTTCTTCGAAGCCCGCGGTACGTAGCAACCATCCCAGCGACCAAGGTAAGCCGTGCCGTTTGAAATTGTGACAATCGTTCATTAACGTGTCCGATAATAACTTTTTGAAATTATTCTTTCTAAGCTCCGAGAAAAATGGTAGTATTTACAATAAATCAAACATAAACGGTATTGAACAATTGTTTACAAATTCAAATTCCTCGGTTTGTTTTCTTTGATCAGCCAATTTTCTCGGAAGCACAAGAATCTGTTGTGGCTAAAGGTACGTTTAGTAATATTATTAATATTATTCTGTACGAGAAGAAGTGGAAAGATTCTACGAGGATGAAGTAAGGCCCGCGGGGGAGCCTCATGAGAAGGATAAGTCACCGTTGATTTTGACGCCGACTCCTACTGAGGGAGCTGCTACGCCGGACCCTACACTGGGGCCTCTACCTGGGGTGGTGCCGGGCGCCCCGACCTTAGAAGTGCCCCCAGGACTCTCGCTCCCACCCGCCGCCACCACGCCACAGTCAGTTACGCCACTAACAGCCTCAACCACACCTGGTGATCAAACTCCAATAAGTACCGCTACATCGGCAGCTTCAGCTGCGGTATCTGGTACCGACGTGAAAAAACCTTAGAGTGAGTAACATTATCCGGTTTGATCTTTGTAATACTTTAAAGCAACAAATGTTTACTAAAAATCATAATGTTTTCGGCTTACTCACGTAATTATTTGACGAGGAACTCGACTAGTTTCAAGCCATGCTATGTAGTAGCAGCGCGACAGTCGCCGCGTCGCAGGTCCCGAAATGCTGCTCATGAATATGAGCCTCTAGCATGGTCTGAAACTAATCGAGTTCCGCATCAAATAATTACGTGAGTAAACCAAAAACATAATACATGTTCATGTAATTTATTTAGTATGTCTCACGAATTTTATAGAGGTAATACAAACATATCTTTACGATTATTACTTCTTTGTTGACAGACATACTAGGTTCGAGAGGAGATGGTGATGGTTTTATGGATGAATTCCTCGATATGATGGGTTTTGTAAGTATTGTTTTATTTCTAAATCTGTTTAAGCACATTTTAATCTGTTACTACATCAATGGGACTTTAATAGGATTCGATCACCACGCCTGATTTTGTTTTCTACAAGAAAAGACAAAATCTCTGTTGCGAATATATAGAAACAGTCCTTGAAATAGCTTATGTATATAGACCGGATTCCACCGCCCCAACTTGATACAGATAAATATGAAATGTAATGGAAATAAATACGAAACTGATTCATTGAAAAACTTGGATACAAATACCTATAACTGATGTTATAACAAGTGTTACTAACTACATAAGTAATTTTAAAATGTAAAAAATAAAGTAAAATATATTTAGAACTCTGTTTTTAAATTATCCCAATTCCCATATTTTACAAGTGAACACGGCGGAACGAGGTAATTCATTTTACGAAATATTAAAATTTTAATTGCTTATATCTTCATTTTCCATTAGGTACTAGTCCTTTCAAACTATAATAATTTCTTTACAAAACTCCGTTGTGTTCATTTGTATCAGATGGAGAATGAAGATTTTATGTTGCTTTTTTTAGTATTTTTATGAAACACTAACAAGTTTGTGTTTTTAGGGTGAAGGCGGATCCCGCTTTCTTTTGGGTGAGTACAACCAACATACAAGGTTACGATACGAGAAATAGAAAGAAAACATTTGCCTTAGTTATAATTCTGTCTCTTTTTCTTGTAGATCGTCCTGCACATACAAGATTTTCAGGTACACGCGTAAAAGGCGCATACCATACTATTATACGGGTTGTTGAAATTATATTTATTACCTACATTATTTAATTATTTACAATGAATACCTAATCAATCTAGGAAAAATGAGGGACGCCTTCGATACACTTACTACTGCAATGGACCAGAAGGGCAATACGAAACTAATTTCTCATGGAAAATTTGACTTTACTTACCAAGAAGCATCTAAAGCGTAATAAAGATTTTTTACGAAATGAATTAAACTTTTTATTTAAGAATTTCTAAGTAAAAAAGATCTGTTTTTCCAGGTTAAAAGAAACAAACAGTTTTAGAGCTACTGAATACATTGTGAAGGTTGCAAAAGAAATTAATGCGAATCTGACAGAAACTGTAAAGGACGTCACACCGCCTCAACTCGCCAGGTCTATGAAAGGTAATTTTACCAGTTTAATAGATTTTAACACTTGATTTATAAAGCATTCTTTAAAAGTGCACTGCCTCGTTGGCCGAGTGGTCGCAAGTGCGACTGCCAGGCAAGGGGTCTCGGGTTCGATTCCCGGGTCGGACAAAGTATAACTTGGGTATAAAAAAAATTCTCAGTAGTAGCACGAAGTGTGGAATTGTGCCCGGTATATGGCAATAGGCTCACCCCCTATTACATGGGACTCAACATAAATAGTGAAAAGTGGGTGTTACATTGTACAGTGGCATAATGTGCACCTCTGCCTACCCCTTCGGGGATAAAAGGCGTGATGTTATGTTATGTCTTTAAAAGTGCTTATTTTGTTCATCTTTTTTACAGTTTATAGGCCGGTAAACGAGCACACGGATCATCTGATGGTAAGCAATCGGCGTCGCCCATGGACATCGGAGCACCAAAGGCGTTACAAGGACATTATCGGCCTTTTTTATGCGGATTAGGAATTTTAGGATTGTTGGGATAATGTGGCTGCGACAAAGGCCGAGAATATTTAACCTAATAATATCCCGGCCATTTACCCAAACGTTTTTGCTATATTTACAGCCAATATGGTTGTGCAATAGTGCAGCCATATTGTTACAGAAAAGTATTGCTATATGAAACACTCTTTATCACCAGATTTAACAAATCTATTCTTGATATTTAATACGCTGGCATATTATTAATCTTTTACTGAAAGTTTCATTATTTTTAATTTACAGATATGGTTGAAATCTGCTCCAATTACTTAGCACAAGATGCGGAATTTAATAGTATGGTGATAAATATCCCTGTTCACTTTTTCACTTAATATTATTTATTAAGATTTGCTCTTTAAGTTAATTTTACAGTCAGTCTATAAATAATATTGTTTTCTATAATGCCCGTCCATTAATTTACTAAGGTTTAGTACGGAAACTGTGAAACTGGTTTATCGTTAAGATAACTCTGTTATTGTTTTATACCTATACAGATATACTTATATGAAGATTTAATTTGTATTAGCGACGGTCTCGTTGGCCGAGTGGTCGCAAGTGCTACTGCCGGGCAAGGGGTCTCGGGTTCAATTCCTGGGTCGGGCAAAGTATTGCTGGGTTTTTTTTAAATTCTCAGTAGTAGCACGAAGTCTGGGTTTGAGCCCAGTATGTGGCAATAGGCTCACCCCCTATTACATGGGACTCATAACATAAGTAGTGAAAATTGGGTGTTACATTGTACAGTGAAATTAAGTGCCGTATTGTACACCTAGCCTATCCCTTCAGAGATAAAGGGCGTGATGTTATGTTGTTATGTTATATTAGTAAAAGTTGCATTTCAGAGACAAAAGGCTCAGCTTTTCAAAAATTGAAAGAAGCCATGAAGAAAAAAGGCAATAATGTAATGTATAACAAGGGTCAAATTAGCCGTACTTACGCTCAGGCAGCTCAACAGTAAGTCATAGATTGTAAATACATTAGAAATTATAAATACATTAGACATATACTATACATTTAGCAACAGTATAACAAATAAAAACTAGAATACACTAATACTTCCTCCTACTGATCTCATCCTAGCTACTAATAGCTAGGTACTACTAGTAGTATAAACTCTAATTTAGTTTCTCTATTTCTATTTTATTCTATATTATTTCTATTTTATTCTAATTTAGTAACTCTAATTTCTAATTTATTTACTACTAGTAGTATAAACTCTAATTTAATTTATAATTTTAGTAAAAGTACAGTAGGCAGCAGGTCATCCTACTCTTTCCTATCTAACTCTTTTATCCGATTTTCAACTCCATTATTTAGTTATAAAGTCGAAAATCGAATGACAAAAATTGGCACATTGGTGTAGATGAAGAATAAATGAAATTTTTTGATGTGTTGATGTACTGGCCACTATGTTTTTAAGCTATAAGCATATTAATTACCATGTAGGTTTATCTCGAATTTTTGTTCGTTCTTCTATTTTTTACCGACTTCAAAAAAAGGAGGAGGTACTATGTTCGGATGATTGTTTTTTTTTTCGCTTTTTTTTTTCTTATAGACTTGAACGAGCTCAAGGTCTGGATACAGATCACGATGACCCCAACCTTTCGCAAGGGATACATGCAAAAATGACAGGGTTAGTACTAGGCAACACCCCAGAAGATATGAAAACGGAGATGGAAGGTAAAGAGATCTCGTGGCACTTTAATAGAAACAAACACAACTTAAATATTATGGTAAATAAAATATTTTCTTCCTCAGAAACCGTGGACATGTCTTCAAAATATTTGTCTCAAAAAGCCGTCGATGATTGTAAGTCTACCTACAATAAAAAATATTATACAAAATTTTTTTTTATAATAATATATCGTTAATCGATTGTTTCTCTTTTTAGACGAACGTGGTCCATTATTTGAATTTTTGATTAAAACTCTGAATAAGGATGGAGATCAGCCTTTTTCTGATATTTTTCCTCTCACCACGAGGAGTGCAACTGCACAAATGTTAGTTTATTTGTATACCTACTTACTTCAGAATATTACATTCATTGTTGAAAATCTTTCTGTTCAACTGTCAAGAGGGTGCAGTTCTTATTGTTTAACAACACCTAGTAACTATGCAATGAAATATTCCTTTCTTTCTTGAGGGAAGGGCAGTCCTGCAGAAGTCACAGATTCGATCATAACAACCTCCTTTCTTCATGATCTCTCATTATTCTAATCCTCTATCAAAGACAGAAAGAAAGAAGACAGAAACCATGCAAACCGAAGTATAATTTATAAACGAATGTCAATTTTGTAATCATAACAGATTCAGAGAAATAGCATATGTCTAAAATCTGTGCAAATAAAATTTAAACTTATTGCAGCTTGCAAACGGCACCAGAACTTTGGAACGCGAAACCTGACCCCGTGACTGTGGACAAAATAAAAGGAGCTCTGCACAAAGCTATAGACCCGCACACTCCCAATCAAAAGGCCGAAGAAATGAAACGTTCGTCACCAGTTATTTTAATTAAAAAGGCTTGAAACTTAACTGTAACATTACCTAATTAATCATAATTGTATTAATAAAAATATCAATTTTTACAGGTGTAATTAATCAAAGTGCTAATTACTTGTCCGGTTTACTACGAGATAGAGGTTAGTTACATAGTACGTACACAAATAGTACTCGTGTAGATGTTTTACAAAACCATTGTTTCCTCCTAAATACGATTGTAATGTCTTAAGTTTTTGTTGCCAATAGGTAACGCGATGGACACGTTATTAAATATGATGAAAAAAAATCCAAGCAAAGTGTTTTCAACAAGAAATAATTATACGTTGGACTATGGCCAAGCAGCAAAAGAGTAAGCAATAATACGTATAATAGGATTTTATATTCCTATATATACTAAGTAAAAGAAATTGAAAATATTTATTAATAATGTGATTATTTCAGTATTCAGGAAGCACCAGACCTCATCACACATTTGCACATAAAGGATATTGCTGACGAAGGACGAGCAAATTTAACGAAAGACATGAAAAATGAGACTCCAGTTGCTTTGCAGGCCCCAATGGCAGGTAGGTCCAAAGCAAATTGCAATGACGTCAGAAGGAAGTATTGTTAATTTATTTATTTTTTTGTGACGAATGCAAATTACAATATTTTTTCTTCAGCATTGACGAAAGACGTCTCCAAATATCTTTCCCAGGTGGTGGCCTTACGAAGTAAGATAAAAACTTAATAAATACAAAAGCCTTCGTACTACCTACTTTTATACTTATCATTTTAATCCTTGATTAATTTCTGTAGGTGGAATAGCCGGTGATAGATATCCAAAACACTTGCTGGCTTCAATGGATAAAGCTATAGGAAGTAAACCCCTTTACAAGTACAAGTCGTTCGGACAAAGTTACGGTGAAGCGGCAGATGTGTAAGTACTTTGTCACGTGATAATTACATGCATTTTATATATACATAAGTTATATGCAAAATAATATTATATATCTACAGTTTACAACACGAAGGCCCCGTATTTACTCCAGAGTCACTACAACCAGGATCAGTACAACAGCCAGGAGTACCTCTCTCAGAATCCAAAACGGCGTTAGCATTATCGCAAGGAGTGTCTTTAAATGAAATACATCCAACAGAATCAACTAAGGAGTTGGGTCATGAAATTGCATCCGAAATGAAGAGAACCTTACCAAAGCAAATAGCTCCAAATGTTGCTGAAGGATTGGATGGTAAAACATGTGCTTTCGTAATGAATTCCAAATCGCATAAGACATGATTCACAATAATTTCTTTTTTACGCGATACAGGAGGTAGTAATAAGTTGTAAGTAAGTACTTTCAATGTCAAATCAATAAGATGACGTAACAAGAGTATTTCATGAAAATCTTAAGACTAAAAATAGTTAAGGCCATATTAATAATGATATTATAAGTAATTTATTTTGTACAGGTACAATTGAAAACGCTGCTAAGCAAATAGCGAAACATGCTACTGGACAAGGTAATGTAAAATAATGTTTATTATGCAACAGTCCAAATTTCCAATCCTCAAATCTAACCTAACTAATCCCAAAAGGCCGGCAACGCACCCTTAACTCCTTTGGTGTCACGGGCGTTTTAGGATTTAGATTGCCTACCATCAGGTGAATGGTCTACTCATTTGCCGACCTATCCCATAAAATCTGTTCCTGTTACCTAATGCTAAATATGCTTGCCAAAAGTAAACTCATCATGATAATGTGTTTAATAGGAAAAGCATTGGAACATTTGACGGGTCTAATGAAAACGAAAGGAGACCAAAACCTTGCCAGATTGCAAGGATATGATCAACCTACAGTGGTGCAGCAAAAAGGTTTGTTGTAACCTCCAAATTAATAAGAACAATATTTATGAGCAAGCAATACCAAGAGATAAACCATTTTATTTCAGACTGGAGCTTGCTCCAACTTTGACTAATGACAAGGTCGACAAAATAGCTTACGAAGCTGTGAAAACTAAACTCACCGACTTGACTAAGGACAAACCAGCTGATGAAAAGTTTGCAAAATATATGCCAGGCAAGTACGAGAAGCTAAATATAATATTTAATCGTTTATAATGTAAAATATGTGGCTTAGTTTATAGCAAATATCACCTATGCTTATTCCGCTTGGAGCAAACATTACCCATATTGGGTAATTCATATGAAAACCGCCACTATAAAATAAAATTATGTGCAGGTATTATCGAAGATAGCTCAAAATTTCTAGCAGCACCATCACCTGAGAGTAAGTAAGATAGACAAATATTTATAATTGTGCTAATTTACAATTTATACTGTAACTTTAAAAGTGATTGATACATATTTCTAGCGAACGCCGAAAAGAAAAAAGTATTAGCTGATTTACTAGCCATGAAAAGAGATCAAATATTAGATGAGAAGGTCCTTATAAAATGACTTATCAAGAAGGTGGAGAGGAGTGAGTTTCGTATCGTAATTAAATTAGTAAGCTACATTGTACTACATAGGTATATCTACATATAAGTAAAAAATATGTTTCTTTAACTCAGGCTTATGCATGCTCCAGCTGGTGCCAGTAAAGCTCATAACGAGCAGAAGCAAAAAGAAATGTTAAAGAAAATTGAATCTGTCTTACCAGATAAAAATATGGCTGCCGCATACAAAGGTGAAAAGCTGTGTTTCCTTAGGACATCGTGGTCAATACGCAACAGAGTGTTACATTTTAGTTAACCTCATTTAACAAACGATAGGTAGCAAGTAGCAACATTACTACACGCTAGTAACAAAAGAGTGGATAATCTTACTATAATATGAATTGTATTTTTTTATGCTTCATATAATATTTTACTTATAATTTTAGAGCCAATCAGTGAAGGTGCAACACACCTGGCTAACGTCATGTCCGGAAGAGGTAGTATTGTTTGTACATCTATTATAATTTCTTCAGTTAATAAAAAATGGTGAAATATTTTTTATATTACATATATACAAACACTTCTCAGGCCAAGCAATGGCAGTAATACAAGACAGTTTGAATAAAGAAAAAGATAAAAGGTTTCTTGATGTTGGAAATTTCAAGAAAAATCAAGGACAAGTTGCGGAATTGTATGATTTTTTTTCAGTAGATTTATCATTTATATGTAGACATTTGTAAATGTAGGTAACAGTATTACAATGTGTTAAGATTAAAATAAGGTTGTTATACGATTATTTGCATCATGATTGTTGTCCTATTTTAATGGGACTTCGTGAGATTCGTGAGATTCTATTGCCAAATCAACGAAAAAATCCCAGATTCTGCGTGTTATTGTAGATTTCGGAAGCCCAATAATAGTTTGCGCAACCTATGTGTCTAATCATCACAAATCTTATTAAAATACTACAATAATAAGATCAATGTTTTGAATGCATGTGTTTTTTTTTATTAAATAAGATCTATACTTTGCCAGATTGAAAAATGCACCAAATTTTCAAAGTGAGAAAGCTTCTCCAGTTTTGTTGGAAAACGTTGAACACCAACTCGATGTACTTCCCAAACAGATACCAGCAGATAAACCACTAGCTAAGCAGCATATGAAAGGTAAGAAAAACAAATGTTAGTACTAAAACATAGAGTTTCTTCAAATTTATTTGTTCATTTCAATATCTAATATTTCCAGATACTACTGAAATCGCTGCAAAATATATCGCATCTAAAGCTACGGCAGAAAGTAAGTTTAAAATATATTCAAGTATTTTAGAGTACATTTTTTTAGAAATATTCATCCAATTAATGAAGTCTTTGATTCAAGGTGGTTTAGGAGCCCAAGAACTAGCAGAACTACATAAAGCTGGATTCAACGATGGAGCCAAAGCCGCATCGTATGACATTTTTTTAAATCCTAGTCACAGTTATAACATTGAACATACTGTCCCTTAATGTAAATTTATCAATTATAATTGCAGTGCAGCACAACGAAGAACTGCGCAAGGAGAATTTGTAAAACTAGAACCAGAAAGTTTAGATGGAAAGAAGCAAGCTGCAGACGGTAAAATGTATAGCCCTACACCTGCTGGCGTGGTTGTCGGCCCTGATGGAAAATTATATGGTCCTGATGGTAAATTATATTTTCCTACTGGAAACGTAATTGGCCCTGATGGCAAAGTTTACGGCCCTGATGGCAAAGTAATAAGCTCTGACGGTACAGCACATACTCCTAATGGTGTAACAGTGGGTCCAGATGGAAAATTATATGGTCCCGATGGTAAATTATATTTCCCTACCGGTAACGTAATAGGCCCTGATGGCAAAATGTATGGCCCTGATGGCAAAGTCATTGGCTCTGCCGGTATAGCACACACTCCTAATGGTGTAACAGTGGGTCCAGATGGAAAATTATATGGTCCTGATGGTAAATTATATTTCCCTACCGGTAACGTAATTGGCCCTGATGGCAAAATGTATGGACCTGATGGCAAAGTCATTGGACCTGATGGCAAAGTCATTGGACCTGATGGCAAAGTCATTGGACCTGATGGCAAAGTCATTAGCCCTGCCGGTACAGCACATACTCCTAATGGTGTAACAGTGGGCCCAGATGGAAAATTGTATGGTCCTGATGGTAAATTATATTTCCCCACCGGTAACGTAATTGGCCCTGATGGCAAAATGTATGGCCCTGATGGCAAAGTAATTGGCCCTGCCGGTATAGCACACACTCCTAATGGTGTAACAGTGGGCCCAGATGGAAAATTGTATGGTCCTGATGGTAAATTATATTTCCCCACCGGTAACGTAATTGGCCCTGATGGCAAAATGTATGGACCTGATGGCAAAGCCATTGGACCTGATGGCAAAGTCATTGGACCTGATGGCAAAGTCATTAGCCCTGCCGGTACAGCACATACTCCTAATGGTGTAGTAGTGGGCCCAGATGGAAAATTATATGGTCCCGATGGTAAATTATATTTCCCTACCGGTAACGTAATTGGCCCTGATGGCAAAATGTATGGCCCTGATGGCAAAGTCATTGGACCTGATGGCAAAGTCATTGGCCCTGACGGTTTAGCACACACTCCTAATGGTGTAACAGTGGGTCCAGATGGAAAATTATATGGTCCCGATGGTAAATTATATTTCCCTACCGGTAACGTAATTGGCCCTGATGGCAAAGTTTACGGCCCTGACGGAAAAGTATGTACATTAGGTGAGAATGAAGAGCAACGTCAACGACGATTAGCTGAGGCAGAAGCATACAGAAAATATGAAGAAAGTGAAAGAAGGAGACTAGGTGATAAGGAGTACTTTAGAAGACAAGAAGAAAGATTAAGACGAGAAATGGCGGGTGGTGGGACAGGTGAGAAAGACTTTGAATGAGCATATTTTATTATTATTTTTAAAACCTGGTACCTAACGCATTTTTAATTAGTTAAATAAATTTGTTATTAGCGGATATCAATGATGTGTTAAGAAAAATTCAAAATTTCAAAATTCAAAATGGTTTAATTTGCGTTAATAAGGTACAGATAGTTGTCATTTTCTAATAACTTAGGTCCTCTTATTTTGCCTTCAACATCGGCGTGCAAAAATAATGTAAGTAGGTACTTTACAAACTTTTGTTATGCTGCTATCTCAAAGAAAATTAAGATTAGAAGAGAAAATGTCACAAAATTAACCCGAAATGTCATAAATGTCACACACAATATTGTATAAATGTCAATTTTATAGGAATGTCACACATATTATAAATATATTACATTACAATTCACAAACCATTAAATATTACAATTTATAATCTAAATATTCAAGCACACTGTAAAAACATTTGTCAATTAGCAGGTTTATTAAACCTCGTTTAAATTTATGAAAAGGTAGTGCCTTAATGGAACTTGGAACCTTGTTATGTAAAAAGGTGTAGATAGGTTACATAAATAACATTCGATCTTAAAAAACACGGTGGGTGTTAGTTCTGTGTGCACCTCTTTATGCCTGAAGGGGTAGCCTTCAGGCATAAAAGGTTAAGTTATGTTATCTTTATTAATATTTTATAAAGTGTGCGAGAGCCATGCTTCGGCACGAATGGGCGGGCTCAAAGACAAAGACAAAAGACAAAGATTATTTATTTGCAAAAACACGTGTTAAATAATAATACATCATAGAATGCACATTATAAGTTGTACAGATGAGCAGTGAGAATAGTATCAACATGTTTGACCATTTCTGGTGTACAAATGTGGAATTAGTATTAAATCCAATTATAACAGTAATTAAACTTTTAAATTGTAACATTCCTATAAGAGACTCAAACCTGACCAGGGCCAACAAAGAAAAATTACAAACACTTGTCATTTACAAAGTCATGAACACTATAATAGCATTTATTAACTAGTAGTTTTTTCAACGCTTGTTTGAATAAGTTTAAAAATTTAATAATTTCTTTAGGAATTTTGTTATAAATTATGGGAGCCATACAGATCACGCTTTTATGCATTAGTGCTGTTTTCGATGGGTGAATAAATAGTCGATTGTTGTCACGTCGATTTCGTTTTACTTTATCAGCCAGAGTGGGAAATATGATATCTCGACCGGAAAGATAATATCTTTCGGGTCGGGCTCACAGAAAACCGAAACCGAAAATTGAAAGCCGAGAATCAACGCTTGCGTTGTTTCGTCGTATGAGTGAGGTTACCAGAGACCCCCCTCCCCAATCCCTGAATCTCCAACAATCCTCAAATTCTTATCCCGAAACAGCCGGTACCGCGCTAGTAACGCCTGTGGTGTTCCGGGTGTCCATGAGCGACGCCGATTGCTTACCATCAGGTGATCATGCCATAAAAAAAAAACGTCACTCTTACGCACACATAAATATATAAACAGCGCAACGCAAGTGAGGTACTGTGGCCAGTTATTGTCCATATTTCAATGGGCCAATTTCTGAGATTTCATTATCTACACCTTTTTAATTAGGTATTACATCATTGGCTGATATCAATAAAATTTAATAAATGCAACTAAAACTTTTTGCTTGCAGGAAAATATCGAGGTGGGGCATTGGGTGCTGGTAAGTGTTAATCAATATGCACATACGTTAAAAAATTTGATATCATGTAGATATACTACATGATATATGTTTATCTTGATCTCGATATCTCCTCTCTCTTTTCTATTTGTTCTAAGCTTCACCGCTTATTTCTTAAACCAAGATGCTTTGGACAGATTACGACAAGGAACATGAAACGGCACTGGACATCCTACACCAACAATTGCAAGCAAACGGATCTAAAGTATTCTATCAACAACCTCAAACTGTTCTCACACATTGTCAGGCTTCAGAGTGGTAAGTTCAAAATAAAATCACTCACACATACACTTGTCCAAATTTCTTAACACATAACATCACGCCTTTTATCCCCGAAGGGATAGGCAGAGGTGCACACAGAAGTAACACCCACTTTTCACTATTTATGTTATGAGTCCCATGTAATAGGGGGTGAGCCTATTGCCATATACCGGGCACATTTCCAGACTCCGTGCTACTACTGAGATTTTTTTAAAACCCAGTAATTCTTTGCCCGACCTGGGAATCGAACCCGAGACTTCTTTCAATTTCTTAACAATCCCATTTTTTATTTCTATTGTATAGAGAAACTTGCCAGAGTAGGTACAGTTCAGGTAGGTAACTATCATTATTTTAATTAAAAATGTGTATTTTAATGTGTAGGCTCTCTTGTCCAATGCCGATGAAAGTGGATAAGGCAGTGAAAGATTCTGGAGACACCGCACGCCTACATAAGAAGTTTGAAAGAAAACTAAATGCTCTTGTCAATGATGTCACGCCACCACATTTGGCTGACTGCATGCAAGGTAAAATTACTAATAAGGTATACCTCACCGTCATTCTTCATATATGAAACAACAGATTCATTTTTAAGAATTTGAAGTGCATCTTTTAATTTATCTATTGTTTTTACACAGACGTCGTCATTGAGGGTGCTCGAAGGCTGTCTGAATTCTTTATCTCGAAGAGTGAGTGAAAATTTGCATTTGTATTTAGTTCAATCAACAACACTAAATGTCGTGCCATCTCTGTCATTTTACAAAGAATTTGTGGAGACAGACCTGTACTTAAGCGTGACTTAAAATTGAGTAACGTTTCAGTATTCGGGCGATAACTACGTAAATACTGTTAAAAACATAAACTTGTTTTCTGACAGGTTACAGTGCGCTTGTCAAAGATGCGCTTATATCAGAAATGCAAAAGCGGGGAAACGAAATACTTTCAGAAGTGGATGGCGCTGCGGAAACATATTTCTTTGCAGCTCAAAGGTGGAAAATTGCATTAAACCTATTTTGAAATCGCCTTTCATTGTATAATAGTTATGTAGTTCATTCATGTTAAGTATTGTAAAATTATAAAATAAATAAAAATTTGTCTGTCGTCCCGAACGATTGGACGAAATTAGATAATTCTTATTTTGTCGTGTATTTATTATTAGGAAAAAGTTAGTGTAAAACTCCTCATTGGCCGAGTGGTCGCAAGTGCGACTGCCGGGCAAGGGGTCTCGGGTTCGATTCCCGGGTCGGGCAAAGTATTACTGGGTTTTTAAAAATATCAGTAGTAGCACGGAGTCTGGAAAAATGTGCCCGGTATATGGCAATAGGCTCACCCCCTATTACATGGGACTCATAACATAAATAGTGAAAAGTGGGTGTTACATTGTACAGTGGCATTAAGTGCCGAAATGTGCACCTCTGCCTACCCCTTCGGGGATAAAAAGGCGTGATGTTATGTTATGTTATGTAGTGTAAAAAAAAATTTTGACATATTCACCGCGAAAATTGGGAAATAGCAGTAGTACCGGGGCAAAACTGAGACGGCTAGCATCTAACGCACTAAAATTTGTTGTAGATTAAAGAAAGCAGATTCATTGGAGGTCCGGGAACCTTGCTACAGGGTCGCTAGTGATATCAATAAGAAGTTGGACGACATGATCAAAGTTCGTCCTCTGCCACGGAAACTAAATTTGATAATGAAAGGTATTGATTTTGTTATCCAGAATTGTGTCAATATTTTTTCCATTACGGATTGCGATAACCTTGTCCCTATTTTACAGATCACATCAAAGACACTTCTAACTTTTTATCTGCAATGGTTACGAAGCCCGGTGAGTACATTTGTTAGCCTTTTAAAAGTTCCATTTCAAAACCCTCCCATTCTTTAAGTCCATAAAGACTATATAATACATTTTATAAAAACGTAGGAACGCTTTCTTAAAATCATACTTTCAGATGATAAAATCGAGGCATACGTCGCGTTGTTAGACGAAATGGAAGCGGAAGGAGATTTCAATCTAGTAGAAGGAGATATTCCTAAAACATATAAAGAGGCTGCTGACTAGTAAGTCCATTAAGTCATTCCAGTTCGACGAACTATTTAACTAAGGATATTTGTGGATAAATAATAACATGAACTTCCTCAGTCTTCGTCAGCTGACGTCAAATACAGATAAGATTAATCGTCCCAACTCTTCAATGCAAGCAGAAATTCAGTCAGAACTCAAACAATTGCTGGATCATGTTCCACCTAGTGGTTATAGCCGATCGGTTATGAACTGTAAGTTGGAGAGTTCAATATCCATTTTCAATATAAATTCTTAGTTTATATCCGTAATCGTTCATTTGAGTAATAACCCTTTTCTATATGAATCTATTAACTCGTCGACTGCCTCGTTGGCCCAGAGGTCGCAAGTGCGACTGCCGGGCAAGGGGTCTTGGGTTCGATTCCTGGGTCGGGCAAAGTATTACTGGGTTTTTAAAAAAAAAATTCTCAGTAGTAGCACGGAGTCTGGAATTGTGCCCGGTATATGGCAATAGGCTCACCCCCCATTACATGCGACTCATAACATAGAGGTAAATAGTGAAAAGTGGGTGTTACATTGTGCAGTGGCATAATGTGCACCTCTGCCTACCCCTTCGGGGATAAAAGGCGTGATGTTATGTATGTTATGTAATGTCTATTAACAAACATCTAAATGAATAATGATTGAGAACTTGATATGAAGATGTTTTCTATTCGTGTTTTACATAACAATCTGTCGTTGTATTTTTATTTTAGCCGTTATTGGAGAAACAGCAGGCCTTTTGACCTCTTACATAATGCTCCAAGGTTAGTAGCTTTCTGATTAAATATTTTGTTTAATCTATTATACTAAAGGAATAATAAAACTTTTCGTTTTTGTAGGAGCAAAAACAGCAGCATTAAACGATCTTGTGCAAGAAATGACGGAGGCAGGCGATGGTGCACTGTTGAGACATGGACCTATCCGTAAATCTTTCAAGGAGGGCGCTGAATTGTTAGTATACGGTATTGCTTATATACCTACTTTTTGATATAGTTGTGTTAATAGATGTTTATTACATACTTTCCAAAATAAACAAAAGTGTAATGATTTCATAAAAGAATAAAGTAAACTCTGAAGTAAACTAACATTTCAGGTTGCGAGGAAAAAATATAGATCAACTCGTCGTGTCTAATCCTGACCCTGTGGTTGCAAGAAAAATCCAAATAAAACTAGGCAATCTGATGCAAATCGATCCGCCGATATGTTGCGGATGTGTTGAGAGTCTTATGAAAGGTAAAATTCTAAAAACTATTAAAATGATGCACACCGTATTTTAGAGAACAGCGCTAAGTATACCAATTTATGTCACTTTATTTATGAATGAAGTAGTGTGCCCGAGGATGATATAAAAAAATCCATGCTTGCCATTAACTCCTCTGCTGTGGGTAGTGATGGTTTATGCTCCCGTATGTTTATCCCCATTCTTGACCTCCTCCTTCCTATTCTCACGCACATTTTCAATTTTTCTTTATTCTCTTGCTCTTTTCCTTCTGCTTGGAAAACTGCCCACGTTATTCCGTTACCAAAAACTAATAACCCTTCTACCCTTTCACATTACAGACCTATTTCCATATTGCCTTTTCTCTCCAAGGTCATGGAACATATTGTTCATAAGCAGTTGACTTCCTTCTTGTCGTCAAACTGCCTCATCTCTCCCTTTCAATCCGGATTCCGCCCTGGCCACAGCACGGTCACAGCTTTACTCAAAGTGACCGATGACATTCGCTGGGCTATGGACAACAAATCTCTCACTGTTCTTGTGTTGTTGGACTTCAGTTCTGCCTTCAACTCCGTGGACTTTGACATTCTGCTGGGGGTCCTGAAGGCCAACAATTTCTCTTCTTCCTCTCTGGCCTGGTTTGAGTCCTATCTTCCGGGTCGCCGTCAGAGGGTCCGCCTTGAAGAAAATTTTTCTGATTGGTGTGACCTTGCTGCCGGGGTACCCCAGGGTGGCGTCCTTTCTCCTGTTCTTTTCTCCATCTTTATTAATACCGTTGCCAGGGTCATTTCATCTAATTTCCATCTATATGCGGACGATTTGCAGCTATACCGCCACTTTGGCCTGTCCGAGGCCCATTCTGCTATCGATGCCATGAATCGTGACTTGGATGGCGTTGCCGAGTGGGCTAGGTCTTTTGGATTGCAAATCAATCCTATCAAGTCTCAGGCCATGATCATCGGTAGCAGATATTATCGAAACGCTCTCGACGTCCCTAGCCTTGGTCCATTACGTTTGAATGGCACACGCATTCCATTCACTGATACTGCGAAAAACTTGGGGGTGCATATCGACTCGAACTTGTCGTGGGCTTTTCAGGTGAACGAGGTTAGTCGGAAAGTTCATTTCTCCATTCACTCGCTGAGGCGCCTCCAGACCTTGCTTCCGGTGAAGACTAAGATTCACCTCGTCCAGGCGCTGATCTTGCCTCTCATTGACTATGCAGATGCTTGCTATTTGGACGCCACAGAGGAGCTATTAAATAAACTTGAGCGCTTACAAAATGTATGTATCCGTTTCGTCTTTGGTCTTAGGAAGTACGATCATATTTCTGAATTCCGTAACAGGCTCAAGTGGCTCCCAATCCGTCTTCGCAGGAACACTCGCATACTATGTCTCCTCTATAACATCCTCTTCAACCCAGCCTATCCTACTTATCTTCGAGACCGTTTCTCCTTGGTGCGCCCTCCTGAAGTCCTTACTCGTTCTCATCTTAAATCCTATCTTAAAATTGTGCCCCATAATACCGACTTCTACTCCTACTCCTTCTCCGTTCATGCAGTGAGACTATGGAACTCGCTCCCGCCGAACATTCGGGACGCCAAGTCTATCTCTATCTTTAAGAGACAAGTGAGAGAACATTATCTTTCCTCCTGAAATACAGATTTGTTTTTCTATATTTATTTATATATGTATTATAATTGTATTATATTAATTTGTTTTATTGTTTATTATTGTTAATTCTATTGGTTTCTTCGGTCTTATTACTTTTTTTTATTAATTGATTTTTATCTTGTTTGTGTAACACACTATGTGTCTCTGTATTATTATTTCTTTTCCTGCCACAGGCCCACAGGAAGAAATTCCAGTTGGAATATGTGGGGCCTATGTACTCTGTTTTTTATTATGTATTGTCCTCTGTGTTGAATGTGTGTACATAAATTAATAAATAAATAAATAAATAAATAAATGAAACTTTACAGATGTCATCGAAGACGCAACGATGTACCTGGCTGTACATCTTCTTGAACCTCGTAAGATAACATTGTAAAACTAATTGGTAATTACTTTGTCTCATGATTTATTACAATACTTATGATATTGTATGTTATGTTTACAGAGGTGATCCAGGTGTGCAAGTGTTACAAGAACGTGTTTGTGCAGTGCGAGCTGTGGTGTGAAGAGATACTGCGACGCGTGACGCGGCCATGCTGCACCTGCTCGCGACACGTGTCGGTGCAGGCCTTGAAAGACCTCGTGCCCGGGGAGATCCTGATCGCCGCATCAGACGGCTCCCGCGTGTTCGCACCTGGCGTGGATATAACCATTAACCCTTGCCCTAGAATGGCTAAACGCAAACGAGATGACAGCCCCGCAGTCCCCAGACCATGTCCAGCTGCTTCTCCTACACCTGGCTGCCAGAGCCGAACTCCAACTACTTCCTACGTCATGTATTCGACTTCACACCAACGGTTTGGTTACGATTCCCTACAAGCATCAGCGGGCTCGAGTGATTCACTACCTATAACACCAATGTCCTTTAGTCCTTTGCAACGTTCGAGAAGTAGCTCTCCCATAAAATCTCTCTTAAAAGATATTCACTCTGGAAATGTTAACTTTTATCAACAACAACAAGAACAAATGCAGATGTACGAAGTTGAAAATCAGAAGCGACTATATAGCGAGCCGTCAGTTTCATACTTCTCTTCAACTAGTAACTACAATTTCGGAGACTCACCCAGATCGGAATCGCCAGTTACCACCTGTCTCTCTCCGGAGTATCCTTCCCCGATGATTAGTAATATTCATATATCCGACACGTCTAAAATCACTCAAGCTAAGAGTACATACAGCTCCCGTGAGTAGCATAATTCATTCAGTTCAATTACAGTTTTTACTGTGTGTAAATCATATTTCTTATATTACTATTTAACCTATACTCGATAGGAACTCCAATCATATCGACTGATCAGATGGCTGACTGGCACGCCATGATGGTCAGTCTGATGTGGAACATGCAAGCATGGCGGGATTGGATACAGGAGATATTTGAACATGCCTTATCTTACCACAATACTCCAAGCACACGAGGTACTATAACGTTAATGAACAATTACACTGAGTAAACTGGTACTGAGACTCTTGATGTTTTTGTTTTCATACCAAAATCTAGATACATGGTCATCATTTCAAAGAAGGATCACGACTGAAGCTCTTCAATGGCGTCAGTACAGTGTGTTCTGTCATCAACTTACGACGCGTCTTCACATACGTTACAAGGATAGAGAAGTAAGATAACAATACTTAATAACAATAGTTTACCAAAAGTGATGGCTTCTTAGGAAAAAATTTATCTACTGAAAAAGTTGGCTTCTCAATTTCGAGCGATTTCAATGCACTCTGTTTTCACCAGAGAAAAAATTGTACAGAAAATATTAAACACTAGCTTTTACCCGCGGCTTCGCTCGCGTCACAAAAGGATAAAAAGTAGCCTATGTGACATATACCAATACATACACGCCATCTATAACAATGCTTTTGTTTTCCCTCGGAAAAATCAAATTTTCGGGATAAAAGGTACCCTATTATTTAATCCGGACTTCAAACTTTACGTCTGCAAAAATTCAAAGCAATCGGTTTAGTAGTTAAGGCGTCAAAGCTGAACAAACAAACAAACTCACTTTCCGATTTATAATATTAGTAAGGATTCCTACCATGTCTTCATAAATATCTCGTCGTATCAATATCCTGAAGATTTTGTATAACGGATACTTCTGTTCTAGTTCGTGTCTCCGACGCGTCCTACAGCCCAAACTAAAACTTATATAGCTTGCCAAGAGGAAATGTTAAAAATTATCGAAATGTTCAACAAATGGACACAATGGCTAACTTTGGTTGTGAGTATTTCACTTATATCTAAAGTAAGCGACATATAATACTTTACTGCAGAATTATTAAAATGTCTACTAAATCAGGTCAAGGAAACCAATACGTTGCAACAAATGTCTGGCGCTGAAGATATTCCATTACATCAAACGTAAGTGCTTAATTTACTGCAAGACAAATTATTAACGTAATACGTACACACGGCTACACATCGAGCTTTACATAACCAGTATAAACTGAACGTTAAATGTGCGGAAAGATGATGCGACGCGACACCAGGATAAACTGGTTTTGTATAGATTGATGTGTGGCCGTGTGTACTTTAGTAAAGTTTCGTCTGTAAAATAGGCGCTGGACTCACTTGAAGATAAAACTAGAGGGTTATGCTAAAGATTGGTCTAAATACAACATGTTTCTGAAAGGATCCTGGGAGAAAAAATACAGTTCTGTTATTGAAGGTATGTATGTTTCGAAGAACACTGTTTGGGGTAGGGACACGTAACACAAAACCAACAGAATTGGGATGATGACAGGGTATGAAAATTAAAAATCTAATTAGTCCGTAAGTTAGGTGTTAAAAAAATATTAGACACGTATTTTTTTATTTTGTCGTATAATAAAACAATACTTAGATAAAACGAATCATAGTTAAGGAGTGGGGGGCTAAAACGTCATTTCTACGTAGATATAAAATGTACATAGAAGTGACGTCACGCGACATTTCAAAACAATATATCGTCGAAAGTATTCATTTCTATAAGAAAATAAAAATTACGTGTTTAATGATTTAAAATAATCAATATACCAGACGGACATTAAAATAAAATTAGGCATCTACCCTATTCAGTTATACTATCTAGGTATCTGGTTACACTTACAAACTACATGTTTTTAGGTCCGGAAAAAGACTGAAATCAAAAACATGTACTCAACCATCTGAAAATTACATTTACCTTTATTTTTTAAAATTATTTTTTTTGAATAGACTACTTGCCAGAATGGAAGAAGCCAGGTGCAGTATGGGTGGTAAGCGCTTGTGGTGCGGTGCCCAGTGGCGCAGTCGCTGCGGGCGTGTTTGATGGAGAAGTCACCTGGGTCGCCAGGACCACGCACAAGTATTTATTTAGAAGATACTAACTTTTTTTTCTAATTTGGTTGAGTCAACTTGAGTCCTAATTATTAGATTAAACCAAAAAACTGAAGTATCATGATAAAAGTTTGTTGCCATCCACAGGTCTAAGGTGCTCCCAGCAGCTTTGTATCCTTCAAAACACTGCTGCTTGGTATACGCTGATGGCATAGTCCACAAATACACAAAATATCAGGTAAGTCATACGAAAGTATCGAAACACCAAAATATACTTTAGTATAATATACTTTAAGTTGCTACTTAATAAACGCAAGTACTGTTGTAGAAGTGGGTTGCTTGAGGTTGACGTTGACATGAGCGGTGTAATTATCTGTAATTTCTCACTGTGGTGATTTCAAGTAGAAACTAGTTTATAAAACTTTGGCTTAGGTAATGTGTAACGCAGAAGTTCGTTGGGTGGCATGGCGAGGTGGCTCAGTGGTTGCACGGGCAGTTCAAGTGGCGCCAGGAGTATATGTAGGGAGAGTGCAACATCGTGGTAACCACCTCTTGGGGGCTGTGCATGAACCACACTATCGCTGCCACGTCGTCTTCTTCGGAAGGCCCTTCGCCTTTAACAACTACGACCTCCTAATGCTAGCAGAACCACGAGACGAGAAGATATTCCCATGAAGTAGTAGACCAAGTACAGCAACCAGGGGACAGTGTACACGGTTATCGATTTTGAAATTAGAACACGGAAAAGTTTCCGTTCTTTTCTTTTCATCTTTTTTAATGAAATTTCTTTGTAATTAATAGACAAACTGTCGCCGATTGCTGTGCGAAGGTTAAGGGTATGAAGGTTTTATAATCTTTAAGATAATTACTGATTATAATTCTGGGGATTAATACTTTATCCAATATTTCAAAAGTAGTAGTCTTCCAGTAAACCTCGAAATGACACTGGCTAGATGGTCTGATCTTACCAAATCGTGTTAGTATTGTTGATGTCCTTAGTTTTATTTTGAACGTCGATGTGCTAGTGAGAATGTTTGTATTGTGCTGTTCATATACACATTTTATATTTATTAAAATTATATTGTTTTATGATATGTCTATATTTCATTGTATTGCACCTTACCCTTATATACACATATTTACAAAATACATTACAATACTTTAACTCATAACGCTAGTATCTTGACTATCTTCAGCTACTTCAACTTTTTCTATTGTGCCTTTAGATCCGGACAGTCGCACTAAATCTCCAGTTTTGAACATATCTGTAGCATAGGCTGCACCCACGATGCACGGCAAACCGTATTCTCGAGCGATCACAGCACCTAAGAAACGAACACAATATAAATGAAACTATCATGAATTTGGTGAACTTAAGTTTCCAATCCGAAGGATAGAAGCTTTTGCTCCCTAGATCCAATTTGAGGTAAGAAAGGTTACTATAAAAATGTTTCAATTGTATAGCAAAGTTAAGCACACAAGCCAGCAAACGAGTAGACAGGGTGAACAATCAGCGCCGCCCACGGTCGCCCCGCAACACTAGATAAGTCCAACTGCATTGCCAGTCTTTTAGGGATTGAGGGTTTGAGGATGTGGGGATTGAAAATTTGGGAATCGAGGCCTTAAAATAATATAATGAGTGAGCTGATACAAACCATGTGATATAAGTCCACCAAGTTCTGTTACAATGCCGGTAAGCAACGGGAAGTAAGGCGACCAGCCGATGTCAGTCGCGTGTGTTATTAGCACATCGCCACGACGCAGTTGATCAATCTGTTTATAGAAAATAGATATTACAACCATATTCAAAATACCTAACGAAACTACAGCCAGATATCAGGCAGACATAAAGCTTATGATTAAGGAGAGAAAAGGAGCAACCCTAATACCCTATTTCTGTTGCTACGGATATGTAGAAGTGTAAAGAATTAATAAAGAAGCTAATCATTGCCTGGTATACAATTACTCTTTAAGCTCTTAAATTAAAAACCTCTACAATGTAACACCCACTATATTATTGAGTTCCATGTAGTAGGGGGTGAGCCTATTGCCATATACCGGGCACAAATTCTAGACTCCATGCTACTACTGAGATTTTTTTTAAAACCGGTAATATTTTGCCCGACCCAGGAATCGAACCCGACACCCCTTGCCCGAAAGTCGTACTTGCAACCAATCGGCCAACAAGGCAAGCTCTTAAAAAAAGTGATGTAACTAAAGAAGTTTCTTAAACAGTACCAGACCAGACTCCGGGTATCGGTAGTTGCGACATTACCTACTGTACCTACTGTGACAATTATTTTTTGTTAAAATAATATTTCACCTCTGCAAGATCCTTGATGACGCAAGCCCTGGCCACCACTTCACCTCCACAGACTGAAGTTGCTTTTATTTTGACGTCTCCAGCCATTACATTGGGTGCTTTAGGCTCCAACTTGTTTACCCAACCAACGTGTAGCTCTTCAAACTTTAGCTTGCACCAACCGGGGTGATACTGCTGACGTAGCATAGCTCTGCAGAAATTATATTAATTCACGTAAAGTAGAAATAAAAATCCTTCAAATGGTGGCCGCAAAGGCCTATTTAAAGTCAATATCTTTACGAAATACGAACTCAAGTTATTTTTCACTAGCTTCTGCCCGCGACTTCGTACGCGTAATTCTGTTTATCCCATTCCCGTAGCCCGTAGGATTTTCAAGACTTTTTTCTGTCATAAGAACCTTCTTCTGACGATAACAAACACAACAAAAAAAAATCTGCCAAATTGTTCTAGCCGTTCTCAAGTTATGGCGTGACAACGGGAAATGGGTTTCATTTATATATTTATATTATATTAGATACTAGCTTTTACCCGCAGCTTCGCTCGCGTCACAAAAGTATAAAAAGTAGCCTATGTGACATACACTAATACACACAGCGCCATCTACACCAATTCTTTTGTTTTCCCTCGGGAATGTCAAATTTTTCCCGGATAAAAACTACCCTTTTATTTAATCCGAACTTCTAACTTTACGTCTGCAAAATTTTAAAGCAATCGGTTTAGTAGTTATGGCGTGAAAGCGGAACAAACAAACAAACAAACAAACACACTTTCAGATTTATAATATTAATATTAATAATGTCCTTACTTTTTCAATAAAGCTGGATCTCTAGTAGCAAGATATTTTTGTAGCTCATGTAGTCGGAAGAAAAACACGAGGTCTTCATTTGGAATGTACCACTTCTTGACTAACAAACGTCCTAAGCGCAGAAAAGCGAGCCGCACTTTATGTATAACTAGCACCATTTGAGCCTTCGTGCCCTCTCTTTGTCGCACGGTATTGTGACATAACGGTAGAACCCAGCGAAGAATTTTCCTAAAAAATAAATCTCATATTTCAATTATATGTCCTTGTATGGTATTGCAAACGTTTTATACAGGCTTTTTAAACTATAATAAAATAAAAACTGCGTTTAAAAAAACGACTTCAAAAAACCAAAAACTAATAACAAACAAAAAGTCAAAACTAAAAAGCAAATAATAACTATACTACTGATAGGTTACCCACCCACTGATAGGTAAGAAGTCGGTGCCATAAGTTCCATACAAAATTATTCATTAAAACCTTAATAGGTACCTAATTGATAATTTTGTGGGCATTAAGTTATATCATTAGGATATGCGCGAACAAACAAAAAAAAACAATTAGCCGAACATAGTACCTCCTCCTTTTTTTTTGAAGTAGGTAAAAATCATCAGCTTGTAACAGTATTGTGATTAGCGTTAAGTAAAATTTAAACACGAATAACCGAAACGCGTACTTACTTAGTGACTGACTGTTGAGGAATAGTTAAAGCATCAATTATCTCCTGATTGCTCTTATTTTTCTTTATTGTTACGTCATCCGTAACGCGCAAGTTTTGGAGAACAACCATCATTTCCTCTGGGACCAACACCCATGGTTTAGTTAGGATATCGAACTGAAAACAAAATATACTTAAAAGCATATTAATACAAACCGAGGCTTATACGTCCTTAAACATTAATATAATGAAATCTTAAAACTCAGCTCGAGCAGTATAAATACTTTGAGTTTAAGACGAAACTTCAGTAGTTTTTTAAATAAGGCAACACAGACAGATACAGTTCAGTTACAAACCTCCATAACAGCTCTGTATCCGTGTTCTTCCAAGAATGCACGAACATCAATATAAATATCATCATGAGCATTATTCTTCAACCACTGCAGGGCTGTCTTTGGATCTTGAGCTCTAAATTCGTCAGCTAGCCCTGATTTCTCTAACTTGCGCACTATATTTGCTAAAGCAGTAGGCACTTCTGCAGACAGTACGTCACCGGAGCTAAACATTGTGCTTATTTCACTGCAAACTTCAGCACTAAAGTCTGAAATAAAATGTTTATATTATGCTTTAAAAACCTCCCTCCTGTTTACATTTTCAGAGATGAAGCGCCAACCAGTTTAAGGATGGTAAGAAAATGTTTGGTAAAAGTCGATACTGCCGCTGCGTCCAATCGGCTCATTTAGAAGTCATAAAACTTGAACTTACCCATTTTGCCCTCCATGAACACAGACATAGCTAAAATTTGGCTGCTAGTACTTGCAGAGCTGGTTACACAGTGGTTGTACGCAACACGTTCCAGAATATCGTGCGATTTCATTATAGCTTCCAATATTTCCCCTGGGTCATCGCTTTTAATTTCATAATTCACTTTACTTGCCTTCATTGAGTCATTCAGAGCTCGTTTAGATGTCAATAATACCTGTAATGTTATGTTATTAACTATAATAATAATGTCTGGCAAAAGGTGCAAAACATGGGGTAAAGTGAAGTTACCGTAAGTTTCAAAAACCGATCCGAAAATCATAAACGAAACCTCTTATGCGCGGTAGCGAGCCGTCAACTAAGCACCTTTCATGTTGTGATAGATAAAGGTCGGTCTTGGCGAGGACAATACCCCATTCATTAATTTAACTTCTAAATCCACGATCACGAAATATCCACAAAATTAATTTATACAAAAGTAGTCTTTAAACATCGGAAATAGGGACTAAAATGGAGTGAGTGGAGGGAGTTTGTAGAAGGTGAATAAAAAATATGCCTACCTTCAACATAAACAATATGCCTTCAAGAGTTTGAGTCCTGTATGGAGGTCGCCTATGACACGCTGTCTTCAATATTTGTTGATCTGCTACGGTATGACCATGTATTGCCATTTCTGACACGCGAATTGGCATATCAATCTTTTCAGTGACCCTTCTGTATAAGGTCTGTAAAGTATAAAATCACACAAGTCAAAAATTCATCCATAGTAGGTACCTAGGTTTTTCCTGGCTGATAGATGGAAATTTACTGTTCATTTTCTTTCATTCTGACGAAGAAAAAGCTTATAACTATCAAACAAATATGTTACAACAAACACGCATAAAGTACAAGCGCTAGGATCTCAAATCTATAAATATGTATTTTTAAGCGATTTTCAACATTATTGTTTAGCAATAAAGACGAAGATACTGAAGAAAGATAAATAGAAGTGGGTTGATGTGTTGGCGGTACTTCCTTCATATACAAAATTAGATAAGAATATACAGATAATAAATAGGTACTTACATTGTACAGACCCATAGCGCATCTACCGTGAGTTAAGTAAATGCAATTGTCAAAGCCGCTGTCGTTAGCACCAACCATTTGGTCCATACCAGACGTCAACACCCTGCACACTACGTCGTAATTCATTGCTGATAGTGGTTTTGGAAGGACCTGTGATTAGGAACAAGATATAACAAACGTTTCATCATCAACAGCCTATAAATGCCCACTGCTGAGCAAAGCCTCTTCTCACACTGGGAAGGTTTAAGCATTAATCACCACGCTTGCTCAATGCGTGTTGGTGATTTCAAACTTATAATTAGAAATTATAAGCCCAGTTTTCCTCAAGATGTTTTTCTTCAGTGGTGTCTAAATAATCTTAGAAAATACATATGACTCGGAAAAAGTCACATTGGTACTTGCGTTGGAAGGTTTCGAACCAGCACCCTCATGTATGAGAAGCGCGTCATAAACCTCCAGGCCACCACGACGATTAACAATATAACGACGATATCAAACGTTTAACAAAGATCAAAAGTATTTGAGAGAAAGAAATCCCTTCTAAACTATAGCTTTATGAGATACACGTCATATATCTTAATATCCTATGATGTTAGACGTTAGGATATCTACTAATTAAAAATATCTTTATCATAATCGCTCACCTCGCCACAATTTCCAAATGAAATCAGTTCATCATCAGCCATAATCGCGGAGTCCAACTCAAAGAGCAACTCTTCTTCTGTCCAACGGTCCAGGGAGGTGATGGGGCGCGCTTGTAAGAGGAATATCTCGTTCTATAACAAGAGAACAGTATATGGTATAATAAATCATGAACTTTATCTGTAAGCACCATTTATTAATGTATCAGGATCTCACCTCCTTAATAGCCCATTCTATATCTCTACCAGCGCCCCATAGTTCTTCTTGAGATACTCCAATGCTTGCCAATTTTAAAGCTTCAGCATCAGTAATGCACGCGACACTTCTCTCATCATCTGGTACATCCTCCATTGCAATGCCACTACCCTCTGTTCTAACCCTCTTTATTTTGGAACCCAACTCCTTCTTCCAAATACTAAGGTCTTTACTTAATCGCTTCACAATTATTGTATCGGGTTCGACGGCACCAGAAACTACGCTCTGTAAAGATTAAGCAAATAAATGTTTAAATAAAAGCTTGTAAAAATATAACAATGTAATGTTTACTTTCATAGCTAAAAGAAGTTTGTTTTTACCTCTCCAAGCCCATAATTAGCGGTAATTAGAAGTTTGGATGGGTCTCCATGAGCTGGGTGTCGCGTGAACATCACACCTGCCGCTCGTGGTGTCACCAGGGCTTGCACCACTACCCCACCACCGCATAGACACGGCTGTCCGTTCTGCCTAAAAACCAAAACTCATTTTGTTAATACTAATCCTCAAAAAATAAAACATTAACTTATAATGACGATAGAATTTCATATAATCACCTGCGATAGTAAGTACTGGTGAACGCAAACATTGACGCCCAACATTTCTGGACTCCTTCCAAAATGTCAACATCGCTAATGCACCCAAGGATTGTTTCATTTTGACCAGCAGCAGACAACTCCTCGCTGTCTTCTCCGACGGCTGCACAGAAATAGTACAATTTAGTACAAGAATTTAAATCAGTATAAACATTCGATAATTGTATCTAACATACCTGATGATCGAACCGCAAAACGCAATTCCGATCCCAAATTCTGCTTTACAGCCTTGTCTCTTAGTTCTTTCATATTGATCAATATTTCATCCCTTATGTCGTCCTTTATTTTTGTACCAACGAATAGATCTGATGCTCTAAAAATAAAAAGAATAAGGTAAGTACTGTTTATTTCAATGTTTCTTCTCAACCATTCTACAATCTTTTAATGTTAAACGTACTTCTGGCACTTTTCCTTGAATATTGCTTCATTGTAATCTTCATTAGCTGCTTCAATTTCATCTATAGCGGCCTTCAGTTCAGAATTCACTTTTAAATGTTTTTCCAAAGCATGTGTAGTCAAACAGAATCCAGGCGGAACACGGTAACCCTGGAAAACGTACGTTATTAAATGTATTAAGTGTGGGAGAGCCATGCTTCGGCACGAATGGGCCGGCTCGACCGGAGTGATACCACGGCCCCACAGAAAACCGACGTGAAAGAACGCTTGTGTTGTGTTTCGTCGTGTGAGTGAGGATACCGGAGGCCCAATTACCCTCCCCTTCTCCAATCTCCCCAATTCCTGAATCCCCAACGATCCTCAAACTCCTAATCCCCAAAAGGCCGGTAACGCACGTGTAACGCCTCTGGTGTTCCAGGTGTCCATGGGTGACGCCGATTGCTTACCATCAGGTGATCCATCTGCTCGGCTTATGCCATAAAAAAAATTTCAAAACACTCCAAAATTGTCACAATAATAAGCGGATTGTACCATTTCTTTTTGCACTGAAGCCAGTAGAGCTAGAGAAGCTCCTTTCCCTCCTACATACATAGGACAGGCAGCAGCACCATCTTCAAATGCAACGCAGTATCCAACTTCACCAGCTTGCTTTTCCGTCAGCCACTTGAGCTGTCTTGGTGGGGAGATACGAGAAACTGGTTCTGCTACAACTATGACAAAAATAGATATGGAAAATTAAAAGTCGCCAATGTGTTGTCTAAATTACTTTGTGGTTTAAAACTGCCTTTATTACATACCTGATGGTTCGTATCCTAGTTGCAATATGCCTGTACCCGGCTCACAGTTGATGTTAACGTGCATAGTGCGATATTCTTCTTCGTATTGGTAAGGAACTCCACTAAATACTTTACCGCCATCTTTATTAATTCTAAGTACTAACTTTAGTTCACGTTTTGCAGCTGGAATTGTAAGAAATCGGGGAAATTAAGACAAAATCAGATTGATAAAAAAGTTTAACTATATTTAACATATTTCTAAACTTACTGTTCACATTAATCGTGTACACATCAGGTATCACATCAGATCTTTCGCAGAAGTCTGCCATCACGATGTCAGTGTATGTGATGGCCTCGTAAGTAAAGTTCGGTAAACGGACACTGCCAGATATGCAACTGCAAAAATTTACATTTTTCTGAACAGGATGGACCATCAGGATGGTGAATTGAACGATAATTAACTAACTTAATACCATTGATACAAAAATCTTTAATGCCTATTAAAACTTACTGGGTCAGTTCATTTTTATACGACAAGCACCGGATTTGCACTGTCGTTCCGTCTCGTGCCAGCGCCATGATTTCGACTGATCGTCTTAGTCCCTCATATCCACGAGGTGCCCATCTCCTCTCCTTTATTCCACGAGTACGCAAGAATACACTCTTGTCCACAATTCCTTCCTCATCAAATGACTCGAAACGACCCTGTGCAGTTCCCCATAGAAACCAGCCTCCGTCTTCCATTTTGCTCCTGGAGGAGGTAGGAGGTTTACAAAAATTATCACGATTAGGATCTTTTAAATACATTCATATCTGCCCTCCATATAAAGTAACTATAAAATATTCTGACATCCTAGCGAATCCTCGTAGGGGAGGTAATAGGACTTATACCTTTCGAGTGCTCCAGTTTCAGCCACTTTCGTTATTATCAACATTTAACTGGGTAACATTTTCGAAAATGGTTCAAAAGTATTGTCTAAATGTCCACCCAACCATACGTCCGTTCCACATTTTCGTCACTAGATTGATGGTGGAATTCTACTGATTTCTATTCTTTATAATAATAATTCTTTATAATTATAATAATAATAATTCTATACTGAATTCTATAATGGTTTTTTTATGGTTTTTTATTAACTTACAACATGTACGGCCATTTGTCATCACGCCATGGTTCAAGGGCTAATGCTTCTGCTGCTAGCGCGTTGCTCCATTCATCAGGATACCTGATCGGCTTATTGGCTGAAGACCAGCTGAAAAATACATCACAGACAGATAAATTAATCACAAATTGTCCCATTGAAGTGGGCGCACACGACAGACAGGGACCAGGGTGCCACCTGTTTTAACTTCACTTTTCTTTTAACTTCAATCACAATCATCCATTTTCAATTGACATTAGAAAACTGTTACTAAATACTACTTCGTAATTCATTGTTATCTGGTCGCAGCTCGAGTTGTATTCCTAATAATAATAGTGTCGCTTATTTAATGAATGTGTGTTAGTAGTACACATGCCCAGCTGCTCCTGCTATTGGTGTTATGAGTTATTGGTGTATTGGTGCTCTGACATCATAATTGAACTGAATTGAATTGAATAGGGAGTTGTACAAGTGCGTTGTTAGTTTCATCTGCTGTCCATTTCGTGCAGGGCGGTCTGGTAGCATTTGGGGCCCTCGGCTGAGCAGACCCAATGTGGGGACATTGGGTCTCAACCCAATGTCCCCACATTGGGTCTCAATTTCTTAACATACTTCAAAAACTTTTTCCGAACCTATAGGCCCGGTGTCCTCAGCGATCGCCGACTGCCTTGTATGACCTGACCGTGCCTGATTTCATGTCAATGCGCTAAATTGAGGCTACAATTTATAGACTAAGCCAGTAATAGTATCTTACACGAGGTTAAGTTTCACATGCTGCGTAACGCCATCGCCAACCCTTGTCAGAAGTCCAGTGTACAAGAATCTGTATCGGGTCTGTTCTTCAGTAACCTGAATTTTAAGGCCTTCTGCGCTCCAACCATCCTCCACGCTTTGCCATGCACATATTGCTGTGTCTGGATGCTCTGGAAACAACAATATAAACGGCCTAGTTATGCAAACTTAATACTTGACTGATGCTGACACGGTTAGCGTAATAGTTGGGTGATCGACTGCTATGCTGTATTTAGAGGGGTTTGGCTATGGTAAAAATTACAAAAAACTAAGTTTTTGTAGGGTTGCTAGCCCCCAACTAAAATAGATATCGGTGTTTACTTACGTGGTAACTTGTAAACAGTTCCATCAGGTAAATTGACATGAACAACAATTTCGGCCAGTGGCTGTGGGCCACATAGCTTCCGGATGCTGAGGAGTATGGCTGACCCATCGGGCCCGCTCGTCCGTAGTGCGATGCTGTCCCATCCCGTGAATAGATCAGGCAAAGGGACCTCATGCAGCTTGGTAGGCTTCAATTGTGACTTCCAACGCCGTACAGCATACCGAGCGAACAAGAGCCGCAGATGATAGTTCCAACCTTAACCGAGAAATTCAGAACAACGTAAAAGTCAATCTTAAAGATAACTTTGTTTCTAATTGCTATGCCTATAGTGTTAAGTAAATATGAATGTTGGCCTTAGCCATGTAATGCACGTGACTGTTATTACAAATCATTCATGTTGATTACAATAAGGCAAAATGGTACGCCAAGAATAAAATAAGTACCCAAGTATAATGATGAAAAATAAACATAAATTTACCGCTGAATAATGTATTCTGTTACCAAAATATTAATAGGTAAACGACTCGTGCCAATAGGTACCTATAAGCACGAACTTTATATAAGACAGGTTTTAAAATAGTTTTTTTTTCTTCTTGTTTGGCAACCGCGTCTCCAAAATCGTGTTGTCGACTATACTGCCAGTGTCGAGTGGTTTAAAATAGTTACATAACTACGCTAATAGTCAACGCGACGCGACGTCAACAACTTGAATAGTGTGTTTAAAAGTGACATTAGTTCGCCAAAGTTTGATTTATACATATCACATTAATGTTTCATAACCATAGTGCGAGATGTATTTTTACCGTGGGTATCTATCTGGATGAATATAAGCGTGTTTACAGTATTGTTTTAATCACAAACGGATACAACAATGAACTGTTGTGTGAATTAACTTGAGAGTAGGTCAATTTAAAAGATACCTATCTAGGCATTTATTAACGCTTTGGTGATACTGAATAATCCCATACGAATTACGTTTAAATATGATTGTAACTAACTCTAAGAGACTGATAACAAACAATTCATGCAAATAGGTAAGACTAAACGTTTAGATACACATTCAAACAATAATATCTAATCAAATTAATTCGCTAATTATCTCATGTCACGGATTTTGTAAGCGTATCGTACCTACATATTGTCGGCATGCCGAATTCATTAGTGCAATGTTCAATGTTACCTACTATGATTTATAACCGAATTGAAGTCCTTGGAGTACATAAAGTGTAGATATATATATCTCATAATTATATATCTATATAAATAATTTCGGTTCGTTAGTCTCAGTAAAACTCGAGAACGGCTGAATCGATTTGGCTAATTTTGGTCTTAAAATGTTCATGAAAGTCTAGGGAAGGTGAAAAATATGAGAAAAAATAGGCAGTACAAAGTTTGCCAGGTCAGCTAGTAAGTCTGTATACATGTATATGTCGAACGGAAATTTATTTACTTTTTGCACACCTCTATAACATGCGAAACTTTAAACTTCTTCTACGTTCTTCGGTACATTTTAATTTAAACATTACAAAAAGAAAATACTAAGCTACATAACCAATTATTAATAAATAATATACAAAAATACATACCAACTTCTTTATAATTCCCCTTATTTGGTGTTTGTTTCTTAATAAATACAAGATAGAACACTATCGCGCCGGTTATCAGTCCAGACTGTAGGAGCACATCGTAAAGATCCATGTTCGAGTGCGATGTGCGATTTACATTTGTAAACAAGAAATGTATAAATGACGTTTGTCCAACGCCGGTCTAAACATAAAGTAATAAAGACCTTGATAGAACGCGCGACTGATTATCAAGGGGACCAAGCGTCGAGTGCTGCTAGTGACATCTATTTAATACAGCAATCTCCCTAATCACTGATATATATATTAATCTTCGCTAAGTAACTATGAACAGCTGCACTTACTAGTTGAAGATAAAAATAGACGTCAAAATAATCCAATTATTATCTTAAATAGGTAATTAGGTAGGTACATAATCATGTTGATAATGAATGTTGTATAACGAAATTCAAACGTCATTGTCTTAAAATTTATATATTACATACCTACAATATGTTATGACGACAAACGTGATTCTGTATTTATTTTAAAAAGGATTTGGTCAATTTAGTTAGTCTAATAACTCTATAATGCTAATTAGACAGACAACTAAATATTATCCTGAAACAACAGTAATCAGTCAACGTATGTATGAGGTATGTTCCTGATAACCGATGGAAGATATGATTATCAGAAAATATTGATAGACACCTGAAAACGAACGTTTTATAATATTTCATCATCGATTGACTGCGTTTTACCTAATTATATAGGTGAGGTCGTAATTACGTTCTTTAATAAATATATTTGCCTCGTTAGCCGAGTAGTCGCAAGTGTGACGGCTGGGCAAGGGGTTTCGGGTTCGATTCCCGGGTCGACCAAAGTATTAAAAAAACAGTAATACAGGGTATCACGTAATTATCTATTTAAAATTAAAATGCTAAGTTGTCGTCTATTTATAATTTTCTGACTTCTCCCCCCTAAATTGTTCGAGCATGTGTTGGTAATTAGAAACGTCGTTTTTTTTATGTATAGGAGGCAATCAAGCAGACGGATCACCTGATGGTAAGCGATCAGCGCCGCCCATGGACACACGCAACACCAGAGGAGTCACAGGTGCGTTGCCGGCCTTTTAAAAAGGAATACGCTCTTTTCTTGAAGGTTTGAAGGCCGGTATCGGTTCAGAAATACTGCCGATGACAGATCATTCCACAGTTTTGCCGTGCGAGGCAGCGATATATTACAATCGCAATCTCAAAACTTGTAAAAGTTTAGTAAAAATATTCGTACTGCAACTTTCCGTCTATGTAGTCAGTCTGAATTCTAGACAAGATTAATACGATAATTGATAGTCAGTGGCGTAACTATACGAAGCGAAGCGAAGGCCTACCAAAAACAAAAAAGAGTGAAATCAAACGAGAACGACTGAACGCAGCCCCTTCCATTCCAGCTGAGGGTTCGGGACGTATTACCGACTTGCCACCCTGTAGTTACACCACTAATGGTAGTTTACGGCCTGCCTGGTTGTAAGCGACAGGGGCGTAGCTAGCGCCGTATCTGCCGACTCTACCGTATCAATTATACAGGGCCCTCGGACTACAGGGGCCCCCAACGTGCCTAAGCACAAATTAATAAAAATTTCCCAATTTTTATTCGCAAAAGTCAAATAAATGATTTTTTCCGCGTAAAGCATGCGTTCAAAGGTTAGCAGAAACTTAAGAAAAATAAAAGTTATTAAGATCCGCTAATTAGGGCAGAGGGAGTTGCCTGCAAAGATTTTAGATTTTCAAACAAATTATAAGTATTTTATGTAAAACTAGTTTCTGCCAGCGGCTTCGCCCGCGATCCCAGGGGTAAAATGCCTATGTATCACTTCAGACCATAATCTATCTCTGTTCCGAATTTCATTCCGGTCCCTTCAGTGGTTTTAATATGACTGAGTAACAAACATACACATAAACTCACATATTTTCATTTTTAATATCGAGTCAAGCTAATTTCAATCATTGGCCTTTCAGTTACAGCGTAAAGTCTATGAATCAGTATTGTAAACGTTAGAGTAGACAAATACAATCAGAAATCACCGAATTGCTAAGCTATTGGGAGTTTCACGTGTTATTGTGAGTCAACCATAAAAGATAGACATATGCTGTCGAGGAATATTTTTTATATAATTTTAAGGAGAATATTTCCGTCATACATGATTTCTATGCAGCTTTAACCTATAAGCCTGCACACGCGACGTTTTCCCAATATTTCCCTTCACTGCTCTGCTCCCATTGATTGTAGCGTAATGAAAAGTATACTATAACCTGCCCAAGAGTATGAAGAATAATTGTGCCAAATTTCGTTAAAATCCATCGAGTAGTTTTTGTTTCCATAACGAACATACAGACAGACAGACAGACAGACAAAAATTTTACTGATTGCATTTTTGGCATCAGTAGCGATCCCTAACCACCCCTTGATAGTTATTTTTTAAATATATTTTATGTACAGAATTGACCTCTCTACAGATTTATTATAAGTATAGAAAAGTATATTGTGAGAAATGTTTACCCTTCAAGGGCCCCTAAACAAATTTTTATACGGGGCCTTCCCAAGGTACGCTACGCCACTGTTAAGTGATCACCTTAGAATCGCAGCCTAAGTACCTACACTTGCAATTCTAGACGCATCACAAGTGCGTTGCTGATCAATCAACTGTGCACATGTGCCGTCGTTTCCAGAGACAATCAAACTACGGGCTGACAAACAATTTCGAAGAGGTGAAGTGCAATTTTATACTATTCACGTGTGTTAATAAATAAGTGCTAGTGCAAGCGTCTACTTACCAACATTGTTCCTGTTCCCTTTACACGATGAAGATTTCTTTAAAAATATAAAATAAAACGATAAAACCCCAACAGATAACAATGCAGGTGTTAAAAACTCCATTATCCTTTCACAGGTGGTAAATCGAATAAATCTAAGTACAGAATATAGCGTACTCACGGTTTATATAGAAAAAATGAAATGTTAATCTTCATACGAAGAGAGAATGACTTGCAATCTTTATTAATAGGTAGATACAGATATGAAATACAGATCTGGATTGTATGTATGGAAAAATACAAGTAAAAATCGGAGGTGTGTCGTATGTTGTAAAATGTATACTAATTTAAAAATCTGACCAATTTGTTTGTTTAATCGAGGGAATGCCAGAACTACTGGTTCTATTTCAATACCTAATTATTTTTGTATGGTATAGTTATTTATTGAGGATTGCTATAGACTATAAAACAGCACGCTACGATCAATAGGACCCGAACAGCACGCAACTGGAGTAGGAACTTTGCTAGTCATCATCATCTCAAGCCTTTTTCAACCAATTTGGTGCAGGCCTCTTTCAAATCTTTCCAGTTAGTTCTGTTTTGAGCTGTTAATATCTAATTTTGTCCAGCCGCCTCTTTGATGTCATCTTTCCATCTCATCTGCGGTCTACCAATTCCAACAGGTCGTCTGTGTTCCCACGGTCTCCAGTCCAGCAGATCCTTGCACCACGAGTTGTGTTTGCGGGCTACATGTCCCGCCCATTGCCACTTCAGCTTGGCTGTTCGTTTCACTATATCTGATAACTTGCTTTGTTTTGTAGTCTTCTTACTTACTTATTTTACTAGTCAAATGGTCACAAATATGACTTAAGAGCTTATGCTTATATGAAGTACGAGCCATTATTGGGATTACCTGTATTTTTATAACCTTTTCTGATTGGTTGGTTCATCGGAGCAGGCCAATCAGAGCGCTGAACGCAGTAACATTTCGTTCTCGTTAAACGTAAGACCAACTCGTACTAAGCCCTCTAAGTGTCGCGGAGAACCTAACGGGTAACCGGGGCTCCGGCTCGACGTGCAGGAGAAGGAACGGGGTGGTTTTTAGTCAGTAAGAGTCTGACACTCCCTTCCGCCTCACCCAGGCGGGAGCAGTCATTCGATGATTTTACCCCTTAAAAAAAGCCTTAAGTACTGACAGAAGTAACGTGCCATACCCATCGGGGACTGTGGAGACCCGAAATTGTTACCAGTGTTCCTAGGCAGGAGTAGGAACTCGGTAGTTTATAGTCAGTAAGAGTGTCACATCCTCTCGCGTCACCCAAGGGCAAAAAGGGCCATTTGATGATATTCATTTTTCATAAGAAACCGTGCCACGCCCATCATTCTGTTGGATGAATTCATGAAATACCTAAGTGTACCAAGATAAAGTACCAAGTACCATGAGTACATACACAGTAGATAAGTTCATACATCCTACATTAGAGAATAATAAGCGTGTTGTCTGTTGACATAGATTATCTCTTCTATTAATTTTTCCATTGTCTTGATCTTTATTAAGTATTTATATAATATATAATATATAACCTCAAGGTACCTAAAACAACAATAGAGAGTTCAACTTAACATACTGCGTATTTTACTACATTTCTGGACACATCTATTGGCCCAGTTTAGAGTTTAGGTTTCGATGGCCGCTACCGAAATATGATTGCTAGATTGAACAAAAACTGTTGATGCAGTTTTAAACCTGATACATTTTACCATCTTTTTCGATCGTATTATAAACGTAATCGTTCTTGTTTGATATCAACAAACAGGCTCCAAATTGTCTTTTGTTTCTTTAAATTCTGTGTTCGAAATTTAAAAAAAGACGATTGAATGAAATTGTGAATGTTTCAGGTTCAAAATTGCATAAAAACTTTTTGCCCGACCTAATATAAAATTTTAGCTAGGACCAAACTAAACTGAAAATACAAGATGGGCCAATAGATGTCCAGAAGTGTATAATCTTATTGATTCACAATTTATATACGTGCCTCTGTGGTTTTACCTTATGATTCATAATAATATTTTTAAACAGTCGATAAACTATCGTAACCATCCTGACATTGCATCAGAAAAATATTTGTCAACTCATGTAACTAATAATAGACAGGATTATGTTATCTAAAACACTTATAGTATGTACCTGCGTACTTTATTTATATAAGACCCAGATAGACCTGCGTAGTACGTCCTCAATAGCTATCAAGTTGGACCTTACCTTTAAATAAACAATAACTTTATATGTTCAGTGCTTGGGAGCAAAAAAACAGAGCCACTAATGTTTTTTTTCTCATTTCTTGATAAATATTTGATACAAGTATTTTATTAGTTGGTAACGTATGTCGTATAACAGACAATTTAGTTTTTTTTAATCGTTATCCCATACTAGTATTTTCTCCTGTGTCGTGGGTGCGTTTACGAACAAACAAGTTCACATACACATGACACCCAGACCCGGAACAATCTGTGAATCACACAAAGAGTTGTTCCGTGCGGGAATCGAGCCCACGACACGTTGCGCGGCAGCCAGTTGCCCAACCACCGCGCCAAGCCTTTAAAATAAGAGCATTTTGTTGTAAAAGGAATATTTATTTTTTAAAGTTATGAAGGGTTTGATAAAATGAAAGAAACTCTATTGGCTGCGTTTTTTGCCCAAGTGTAGAAGTTACAAAAATAAATGAGAAATGAAACAAAGAAGAAATATAATCGAACATCATTTAATAGCGCAATATAACATTCACGTCGGTAAATAATAAATTGATTTACTTTAAACAAACAATAAATAATTATCCTAATCACATTATCCTATTACAACTATCGTTGAATAGTTTCTGAACAACAGCAATCCACAAAATATCCTTTACACTTTCTTTATGTCCTAGTACAAGGTATACTTTATATTATTATAAGGATGGTATCTTAATAACCAGTAAAATTCGATTCTAGCTATGTTATTTTAGAAGTATTAAGATATTTAGATGAATAAGTCACTCTGAAAAAAGAACTTTTTTTAAATAATGTGGTCCATTCGAACATACTGGTAGGACTTTATTCAGCAGTAGCGCCATCTACTAAGCGCAGAAATTGCTATGAACTATGGGTACGTTTTAGTTACTATATTTAAAGAATCAAGAAGCATCGAAAACGAATTTGTCTGGCTATCACAGAACATTCTGATTAAAAAATGCATTGCTGCTAAACTAATCTTTACATTTAGTTCCAGGCTTTAGCACAATATAAGTTTGTGTACAAAAATACAGTCACCAAAATAAGCTATCATTGAAAAATGCATTAATGTGGTTACAGTATCAACTACCAACACACTCGCTACCTCGCATCTGTTGAACACAACCTAATTAAAAAAGTAAATATTGAGCATGAACAGATCTTTAAAACTGAATTATCATTAAGATTAACTCAATAAACTGTTCAGAAGAAAATATAATCCATCTCTTTTGGAAACATTGCTCCTTGAGGATAATGGTGAACAAGATGAAAACACCAGCTATAACAGAATGTTGAATAAAGACCTTACTAGAAACCAGTCCATTATGAGTGCTTTGCATACAAGGTGTAAACGCAACGCTACAAAAAAATGAAGACAGGTGATTTTTTATGTCATAAGCCGGTAAACGAGCATACGGATCACCTGATGGTAAGCAATCGGCGTCGCCCATTGACACCTGGAACACCAGAGGCGTTACAAGTGCGTTACCGGCCTTTTGGGGATTAGGAATTTGAGGACCGTTGGGGATTCAGGAATTGAGGAGATTGGGGAAGGGGAGGGTAATTGGGCCTCCGGTAACCTCACTCACACGACGAAACACAACGCAAGCGTTGCTTCACGTCGGTTTTCTGTGAGGCCGTGGTATCACCCCGGTCGAGCCGGTACATTCGTGCTGAAGCATGGCTTTCCCACACTTAATAAGGTGATGTTAAAAAAGGAGTTTTATTTTCAAAAATGTAAGGAATTAAATGTTTATTTAATGTAATAATAGTTGTAATCGAGTGCTCAAGGCTGATATTGCATGAATAACATATAAACAATAAAAACTGTAAAATTAAAAAAGAATTGCGTTTTCGGAAACGATCCGTTTACTCTGTACTCTCAGGAACCCCTCCTCATGTATATGGAAGCGAAGCCCCTAAAGTTTATAATTTCAATTGAAACATAATGTGCAGTAAACATGGAATTTTGTATGGGCACATATTGAACAATCTGCTGCAGTTTCATTAAAACTAACATTTAACAAAATCGATTCACATTTATCTATCTAGCTCTATTAAAGGAGATCATATTGTTTGGGATTTTTCTGAAAAAATGGTACGTAATGAAAAAATGGTAACGGTAATGAAAAAATGGTACGTATCGTTAGAACAAGTCATTTGGAGAAACGGCTCAAAAATGTATGGAGCCGAAATGATCTCCTTTAAGCAATTGCTACTAATTATTTTACGGTCGTGGTGGCCCGGAGGTTTAAGACGCCCACTTCTCATGCATGAGGGTGCGGGTTCGAAACCTACCAACGGCAAGGAAAAAGTCACATAGGTATATGTGACTTTTTCCGAGTTATATGTACTTTCTAAGATTATTTAGACACCACTGACAAACGGTGAAGGGAAAACATCGTGAGGAAACCTGAACTTATAATTTCTAATTATAAGTTTGAAATCGCCAACCCGCATTGAGCAAGCGTGGTGATTAATGCTCTAACCTTCTCCGTGTGAGAAGAGGCTTTGCTCAGCAGTGGGCATTTATACGCTGTTGATGATGATGATGATTTTACTGTTTAAACAATAATATAAAGCTAACACGTTGTGATGATGATAAAGTAATACAGCACAATTAACAAAATAAATAAATGTTACCCAAAGGCCAATAAAGGAGGCTAAATAGGCTTTACAATTTGTACCTTATTTCAATAACTGTAAGTAACATATTTCGAACTTTTCCGTCACAGCATATAGTTTATAAGACAAAAACTTAGAAAATACAGTATGCAACAGCAAGCGATCGCCAAGTTGTGAATTTGTTTAATAGACTTGAAACCATATCCTTTTGTCGTAAGATTTAAAATCAATTAATGACACTTTCAACCTTCACAAGTCAACGAAGAAGCGAGTGTTTGATAAAACGTTTCATATTATACTAATAAAAATTTCTTCATTTATTACCAAAATTTTTTTAGCTACCCATTTATACACATACACACAGTCTAAACATTTATATTCAAGTTCGTACACATTTCATTTAAATATAGAACAAATAATAATAACAATTATTGTCTTTTAAATTATAGTAAAATTATTTTAACCATTTGTTGTAAGATGTTTTTATTAGGAACGATCGATAAAAATATATTTGTAGTCAAGTACCTACCTATATTTTTTAAATGTAGTCCTCAGTAAATATTTTATTAATAAAAAATATAAACCAAAATGTGAATCAAAATACCTACATTTATGAATCAAATTATGACGTCAGTTTTGAGCAAATGCCAATTAAAATTGCACTTAAAATTATATTAATTTTGCGACACACAGAGTATTATATCATAGGCAAAACAAAACTAAAATGTATAAAAAATCAATGCAATCAATTTCTTCAGTGTTTAATACTCTTACTTGACCCTTTGTTACTTATACGTTCTATTTTACAACCAGTAAATTCTAATTTTCACATTTTCAGATTTTAGCTGTCACATAAAAGAACTATAAGTGGAGAGGTCGCCACTATCGCGCATAGATTTGGGTCATAGACAAACATGTCACCCCATGATAAAATAAATATTGCATACCCTGAATATTCGTCTCCTAAATATTAAAAATAAGAAATAAATTTAATTAATTTAACTCACAAATATTACTAAGAAAAAATGCAATAATCGCAAAATAATCCAAATATACACACAATACACAAAACTTTCGATCCGACATAATTTCATTGTTTACGATTTTAACGTTTATCACAAATTAATCAATCAATCAATTAAAGTTACAAAAATGCTATGGATAAACACATCTCATCTAAATCTCAAACAATCAAAGAGATTTTAAAATGAGTTTAGAATTCCGAGACTTAGTCACATCTCTAGCTCGGGTGTAATACATAGGCGTCGGGTGTACTAGCGTTGTGATCATATTTGACTGAAATATACTATAATTAAGTACAAGACGCACCCGTCTTGTGAACAATAAAACATAAAATTAAACCATATTCCTCCCGAATTCTTTTTCATAAAATAGAATCACAAGTTTCGAAATTCAAATTACCAATACTGATCCCTTTGCAGTAAGTTGCCATAAGAAAAATTGACTATCAATAAATTATTGCTAACAATCTGTTTATTTAAACAAACGTGGAAAACGGTTGTCCCGACATTGACTAAGACTAAAAATTCGGTAGCTACCTAAGTCGTGAGTTTCTTTTATAGATTTTTAACCTTATGGTTTTGTCACAAAGTTAGAAATTCATAAATGAAACCACTGTCGAGACTATCAGCTATATGAACACAAAATGAGGAAGTATTTATTTAATGTAACAATTACCCTTTCTTTTTAAATAAATAGGAAATGTATTCTACTAAGTAGCGTAACTAGGTGGCAAGTCGGCAAAATGCCATTGGAACCCCAGCCTAAAGGGTGCCCCCATTTAAAGGTGATTATAAAAGGTTCAAACCTGAGCTTACCTGTCTTAATACGCAAAGGGGCGATCCGATACACTTGCCAGGGGCCATGAGCTGTATCGTTACGCAACTGGATCTACTCTAACTTTATAATGAGGTTATATTTATGTGATGTCATAGTTTTATAGACTTTTACAAACGCATCACTTATCATTCGCTCATCAAGCCTACGTATGAGAAACGGAACGACAGTGTATAAACAATCCGTTTTCACTAATAACAAATATTGTAAAACAATAATTTCAGTTGCATCATATTATCTAAGATTAAACACACATAGAAAAATTCTTTAATAATCCAGTCATAGCGCTAAATCAAGTAGCACCGTAAAACAGCCTCTATAAGGTACTATAGAAAGTTCAAAATGGTTTGTTGCCCTACTCTTCTTTCTGCTTTACTGGCTCCAACTCTTCAGGGTTCTCATCCATACTGGAAGCAGTGTCCGTGCGAGAATTATCTACAGGGTACAACCTGAAATGAATTTAAATAGTATAATTATAAAATTCATATCTGGATAAAGATCTCCTTTATGACACTAACGCCATCTATTTTCAAGTTATGTACAAAACTAAATTATTTTATCTGTATTCCGGTATATCTGTCTCACAAGAACAAATACCAGAACAAAATGTTTATTACAAAACAGTTCTATTATATAACTTAACATTAATAATATAACTTAACATTAATATTGGCTTGACAAACAAGATATTATCTTAAATGAACCAACACAGTAATATCAAAGTTCATTTAAATACAACTCACCATCTCTGATACAAATAGACTAGGAAGACGAGATCATCTCGGAAGCAGGCAACGCGATGAGCGGTGGGCATAGTGATGATGAAGGCGAAGATATCGTCTATGAAGGTATTGAACGCCTTGTACATGAACGCGCGCCATGGTAACGCGGCCACTGACCGCAGGCGGTAGTTCACGAACAGCTGAGGTAACATGAATAGGAAGCCGAACGCATATACACCGTTCACTATGCTATGCAGCGCCCACGAGTACCAGCTGGAAATTAAAATAGTATATTATTTTCTTTTAGGTAACTGGAATTTTATAACAGAAATCGGTAGTAAAGTCGGTAATCTCATAAATATAACATAACACCACGCCTTTTATCCCCGACGATGTAGGCAGAGGTACACATTATGCCACTGTACAATGTAACACCCACTTTTCACTATTTGTTATGAGTCGTAATAGGGGATGAGCCTATTGCCATATACCGGGCACAATTCCAGACTCCGTGCTACTACTGAGATTTTTTTTAAACCCAGTAATATTTTGCGCGACACGGGAATCGAACCCGAGACCCCTTGCCAGGCAGACGCACTTGTGACCAATCGGCCAATGAGGCAGTCAATCTCATGAATAGATTACAAAACAGTTTATACAAACATCTACTGGGAATATCTCTATAGTAAAAAGCTGAATCTCCGTAAATACTGGTTTAAATTCAATAAATGTTAATTCCCGATAGCTTATAACCGAGGAAGCTATCTAAAGCTTCATCACGATACGATCAATAGACGCCGAGCAGCAGATGAAACCGCGCGGTAACAGTTAGTTTTTGATAGATTGTGAACCTTATCTACCTCCTAATAAAGTTGAGTCAGCAGACTTACCTCTTATGTGGCTCATAAACCAGCGAGTATATAGCTCCGGCGATACAGAGTGGGTACAGTAACATAGACAAATACTTCATGGCCTCAGCGTCGGCTTTGGCCGTGCTCTTCTCTCCCGCGTCAGCGCTCGTGTCCCGCCACACACGTAGCCTCCATCCAGAGAACGACACCCGCAAATGTAGGACTTTTGTCACCTTCCATAACTAAAAAGACATACATATTCATGTACGAAATATTTTTATCTGTTATTAAAAAAAATACCTTTGAATCTTTTCAATTTAAGAATATTAGATTATGTGGTTAGAATGTTATAGTTTAACTTAATACTTCGCTTTAATAATATTATTTTTCTTACTCAACATGACAGACCCAATAAGCTGAGCATTATAAATGTTTTAACATAAGGGTATTGTCATCAAAATCTGCATACATAATAGCATAAATATCATCACGCCTTTTACACCCGAAGAGGAAGGCAGAGCTGCACATTACGGCACTTAATGTCACTATACAATTTAACATTCACTTTTCACTATTTATGTTTATAAGTGCCATGTAATAGGGGCTGAGCCTATTGCCATATACCGGGCACATTTCCAGACTCCGCGTTACTTCTGAGAAATCTGCAATAATCACCTCAATAATCGCACTAATGCCAGCCGGTATTAGAACTAGAAGCGAAGTCATCTCATCCAGTAAATAGAAGAAAATGACGAGTTGAGAGAATGCCCTCCATAACACAGTGCGAGCAGACAGACCCGCGAGAGAGCGCTTGCGTCGCCAAAACGATACATCATTCTTAAACGCCAAGAAGTCGAACAGCAGCTGAAAAAAAACAATTACATATAAGTTAAACCTTCAGTCATGTTACATTTATTATAAAAATCAAGTCTCCATACTAACACTCAGATGAACCCAGGACGGTACAAGGTCATGGTAGGTCGTGGTAATGCAATTTTCAACCTAATTTCGATTGTAAACAGTGCATTTTACAATGTCGTGAGCAGGAATGACTTGCACTGTTACAGGGTTCTGAAAGGGTTACCCGTTCGCAACGAGTTATCCACGCCCGTTCGATGATGTAACACGTATCATAGGGTTTGTTTTTGAAGCGCTTAAAAAAACCCTGTCTAAAACCCTTTCAACGAGTATCCGGCCGGTCCCTGCCCAGGACTCTGCACAAGATAGCTACCCGCAGACACATTAGTAAACAAATGAGGCATTTTATAAACATAAATAAACCTTTAGCATTCTAATATAAATTATTTATCATTATAATAATAGAAAAAACTTACATGGCAACTAGCGATCAATACGGTTGCTGATAACAAATACAAATTGGTGTCTGCAAATATTCCTTTGACATCATCTACGTCCTTCTCACTGAACCCAAGAGCGAAAAGCTGTTCCAATGCTAAACGAACATGTAGAGATAACCGCAAGGAACCGTATGATGTAGGAGCCACATTGACTGTAATATTTACTTCCGTAGAACTACTGTTCAAAAGTTGATAGTGTGATAGTCTTGACTTCAAAACATTGTGGTGTAGTATCGGTAAGAATTTGCCGCTTCGTACCCTGCAAGAAATTGTGAATGTAAATTAAATTGATATTTTATAGTACAACAGTAACATAAGAAGTAATTTAGTGATAAGTGTTTTCATAAAGTTATGATAATAGAATAATTATATCAAGTGTGTAATGGGAATTATGTTTTTTCTCATTTTTGATTATACAAGGCATAAGCGAAGATGGGGATATTACTAAATGAAATCATCACAATCTCAGACTATGCAATTACAGTATCTATGATAACATTTTATTTTTAAAAATTAAGTCATCTTTAATAACTCAGGATTTTAACCTGAGATTCAATGGTCAGTTATTTCATAGTCAGACTCGTAACCTAATAAGTCCAATAACAGATTATCTAGATTTTTTAAATAATAATAATAATATGTAAATACATTAAATATGCCTTATTCCCAAAGTGCCATTGCACAATGTAACACCCACTTTTCACTAATTATGTTATGAGTCCCATGTAACAGGGAGTGAACCTATTGCAGTATGCCAGGCACATTTGCAGACTCCGTGCTACTACTGAGATTTATTAAAAACCTAGTAATACTTTGCCCAATCCGGGAATCGAGCCCAAGACCCCTTGTCCGGCAGTCACACTTGCGACCACTCGGCCAATGAGGTAGTCTGACGGTAATATGTAAATAAGATAGCTAAAAAATATATAAGAATATTAATTACCTAATATAAGGATACAACTCCCCAGGTATTTTATTACTAGGCAACTTGAGATTATCGGTTAGAATTGACAGTGGAGCCACTGTGGTTATATGAGCATATGGACGAACGGATTTCTTTTCTGGCACTTTTTGTTCTTCGTTCTGTAAGGAAAATACATTATCATTTACTAAACATTTTTACCCTTAAAAATTATAAATACTACTATGTTATTCTGCTAATACTATAAATGCAAAAATTCTTATAAGATATACGGAGCATGCAACATTTAAAAAAAAAAAAAAATAAAGAAATATGTACACTTTGTTTTTTATTATTATTTCATGCTAAAAGTATAGAAAGGAACCAAAAACATTTAATTTTATTAATTATACTGACTAATTAGGATGTATACATTTGTTACTCTTTATCTCAGTAATGTAAGCAAGTGTTGACAAAGCCTACTTATTGATAATGTTGTTTAATTAAATTAATATATGCAGTGCAATGCATGCACAGATAACATCACTTGTCTTAATACTGTTAAGAAAATAAATAGACCATAACTATTCTACATGGATGAGTGCCATATATCATGAATAACTTACATTTTGCTGTAGAAGATTGAAAGTTGCTGCTTGTGGCTCCGTATGTGTTACTAAGGGGAGTGTATGTATAGACTCAGTACGAATAATCTCGTCAAACTCTCTGTATAAGCGACTGTCATCCAACAAAACAGCATGCATGAACAATGTCCCATTATTGCGGGTCTTCCGTGGCACTTTCAACGTTATATCGCTGAAAATTAAACCACAATAAGTCACCTCCAAGAAATGGTAGCTATCATCTTACATCGGTTTGAATCCGTTTTAAAGTATACTTACAAAGTCGCCGGATTTAAATAGTCAAACTTCAGAGAAGTATGCACTTTTGAAACACTATCCGCTGTTGAACCTTCTAGATGCGGACGTTCCTTTATAGAAGTATACAAAACTAGATGCTGCACAGGTTTTGAAGCTAAATAAGATGAAAAACATCTCTCGCCACGACTACATTCTGGCGGTATGAAAATTTCAGCTAATGTCCAAATAGTATTGACAACATATACAGCAAAAATTAAAGACAACATTAAACTAACAGATATATATTTCATTACGATTGATCGTTTATTACTTCCAATGAAATAAAATAATTATATGTTCGTAAAAATTTCACGAATGTGCACGCACTCAATACAAGTCAATCTGAATGTGACAGCGAGATCTGTCATAATTTAGTGTCAAAACAAAATATTTTTGATGTTGTCCCTTCATTGCCCAATCGATTGTAATATTATTGCTACTTGAAATATTCGTAGCACTCTATTCGACTAATTGTGTTTAGTAACTTTTATTACATAATTAGATGTACGAAATATTTTACAGATATAAGAAATGGAGATTATAATTATTAAGTATTTTGAACAAATGCATTAATTAATTGAAAAATATTTAAGTTTATAATAAAAATTTAACTTTGCTTTCTGATATCATGCGCGTGACGGAACGAACCCTTGTCTTGTATTATTTATTTTTTGTTTTGGTAACATCATAACTCATGGACGACTTCAAAACGTAATAAATCGGTGTTTCCTTGGAAATAATATTGATGTTTCACAAATTTAGAAGAATTACCAAAGGTATATTTAATCGTTTAAGTTAAGGATTACATGAAGTGTTAAACTATACGTACCAAATATACGGGGCCTATGTGGCATATTGTTTTGACAGTTGTCACTTTATCTATCTGATATTTTGTTTATATTTCAGAATGGAAATGGTTTTGTGCCACCTCTGGTTATTAAGTTATTTCAAGGAGTTCAAGCTTACCCAGTACTGAAAAATGAGAACAGCGAGTACGAATATGTGTCCAAGTTACCGTGGCAATGGATGCTAAAGACTTGAGGACCGAGTCTGGTGTGAGTGAACGCAATAATGACGGCAGCAAGTACAGTCAAAGCAGCGGTATCGCGCTCCACTGTGACAGAAATAAGTCGTATCAAGATATCGGATCTAACTCATTGGGTAAAGTGGAGGTACAGAACGCGCGGCCATGCGCCGTCATCGGTCCCGACCGAGTCGTGCCTCCGCCAGCCGTCAGCGACGCGTATCACATAAAGAAAGGTCCTGCCGAGCCATGGCCATGCATGGACAACACATACCGACGTCTACCCGAATACCCCCATAAGTTAACCAGTTTCCAGAATCCAACAAGAAACATATCACCAAGACAAACATTCCAAGAAAACATGCAGCGTATTATGGTGCCACCCACATACAACTCAATCAAAATAAATGATGACACCAACTATGCTCAAATATCAGATAGAAACAACAGTGTACCTAAGAATATCAAGTTAAATATGCCGCCCGAGGCAAAGTTCTGTGATGTGCCTTATGCTGTTAATCCTACTAATAATGAACTTAAAAATGTTAGGAACTCTGAAATGTGTTTACCTAGTGTGAATCCCACTGTGACACGGACTGCTCCTCATGGATGGCCTACAGGCAGTGTTAATTTACGATCCACGAGGATGTATAGTGCTCCTGAACTGTACCAATATCAAGAGTACCCCAGCTGTGCTGGCCCTCGACCAGTAGTGCCCAGACCTCATAGAACTGTTCCAGAAGAACAGGGCTATGTGTATGCTGACCCTTACTATCAAGAAGGAAACATTCGCTTCAAGCCTTATCCAAGTGTGAAAGAAAGATATCCCCAGCAAAGGTATGAGTACATTGGTAATTATTCTAATCCATTCCATCCACCACCTGGTTTTCCAGCTCATAAATATGAGTTACAGAAGTCTATAGCACCACATCCCTATCCTCCATATCCTCCAATCAAGTATTTGGATAGCCGAGTAGCGGAACCTCATGTCATGGAAGGATATCAAAGAACTCCCCAAGGTAACTACAACATTCAATATCGTAATCAAGTAATCCATCCAAATTATGGACCAGTAATAAGTAACTGTCCCCAAAATAAAATGCATTCATATCCACCTGATGCTCATATGAAAACAATGCCGTCAAACAAACTACCTTATGATAACAGTACTAAAGCGTATATTGAATATGATAATAATAGACCCAAAATATATCCTCCAACTGAAAGCTATTTTGTCAGTGAAATGTCTAGGATGCCTATGAAGAGCCAAGTTATAATGCCTAATTATTCCACAATAAATGTACATAACCTACCTCCAAACCCATATTACAAAAAAGACCCCAACAGTTAAAAAATTATGAACATATGGCTCATTTTAGAAACATGGACCCTAACATTAATATACACAACCCTATGTCCAGACATGCTCCTGTGTTTTCACCCAACACACTAGCAATTTCTCCCACAGATTCTAATACTAGTAATGATACAACCCAAACTCTTGGGACCTCTCAAGAAGACTGTGGTTATGTGAGTCAATCATCTACAGCAAGTGTTAGAAGTATTGATTCTGGCGTCAACAGAATACCAAATGAATACCTTAGGAAATATTATGATAATAGGTATGGACCTATTGTCAGAACCTCGCCTATGATGTCAAAGTCGCAATTAAATTCTAATAATAATATGTCTAAAGACAAAAAACAAATAGATGTTAGACAGTTCCTGCAAATGTGGAATGAAGGAGATGAGGAGCAAGAAGAAAATGGCTCTAAAGAAATAATCATCCAGACAGGATCTAGCGAGAAAACCAACTTCAATAAGACAAATGATGGAATGAATAACCAAGAACAACTGTATGTCCTTGGACTAGTAAATGTTCCAAGCGAAGAACTCGCTAAATATGAACATATTCAAAAAGTCTCTAAGTTACCTGAGAATATCAAAGGATATAACAGTATTGAATTACTCAATCAATTTGAAGAGGTGATAGAATCATCGAATATGAGTAACTACAAGACACCAGTCTCCAAAGACTATCATATGGCCATGAAAGTTCATCAGAAACAGGTAACAGGAGTGATACCACCTAGACCTGTTTCACCTTTAGATGTTGAAGCTAAAATAAGTCAGTCTGTCATTCATAAGGAGGTTGGCTGTAATTTTGAAATAAAGCCTTGTAGTCCAAAAATGCTCAATGTAGAAGTAGCTGCACCTGTTCAAAATATTTTGGCTGAAAGGTCCATAGAAAAAGTTGCAAATCCAGTGATGAATAAGTCACCTATGTTGAATGGAATTAATGAAAATATTGATTGTAACTTAATGAAACGAGGTGATCATCGAATGAATATGAATGAAAACATAAGAATTCCCAGCTGCAAAATGATTAACAATACACAATTTTCAAATACTAACCCTATGGACCCTATTAAAACCAGCTATAGTTTACAGGACCTAGAAAGTAATTCAGGCTTATGTCTAGCTTCACTGCCTCGACTTGATAATGACATTGAATTGAACTTCCCTGAAGTCAATCAACAATTCATTAATGCAAATAAAGGAGATAATAATATTTTATCATCCTCAATTAGAGATTTGCCAACATTAGAGGTATTAGATCCACCAGAGAACCAGATCAAAAACAAATACGATCATACTAATTCGTCTAGGGCAGAAATTGATGCTGCAAAATCGCCGTGCATTATTGAATCTGAAACAGAATTTTCTAAATTGAGTAAATATCGTAAAACTAAAATAAATTCCTCAGAAGTCAAAGAAATCCAAATACAACACAATATTAATGCCATCAGAACAGATAGTGTTATAATAAAAAATCCTGAGAATATAAAGAATTACGAAGATAATTCAGATATTTCATTAAATTGTTCAGATAAAATCGTGACAGATGTTCAACAGGCTCCAATAAATTTAACTGCTCAAGAAAATCTTTCAACTATTGTAAAGGCATCGGAAAACATACATCCCATTGAATCAGAAAAAGAAACTCTCCTGCCTACTGAAATTGCAATAGATTTCAGTTTAAATAAAACAGACAACCTGAATAATGAATCCATAGAAACTAAAATGGATTCACCAGGTAATTCACCCACACATGTGGAAGAAAACTATTTAAACACATTTATAAACAGAGAAGCTTCATCTGATCCTATTAGTTTATTACCTGAATTTACTGAGCAACATGATAACATCGTGAAAGAGGATAAAGGCGATAGAGGGTGTGATTTAAGCAAGAGGGAAGGAAATGATAATATACCCATTACTGATGACGAAGACAGTAAAATAAAAGAAGAAACTTTAACTAGGAATAATGACCATAAAAGCCTTGTAAATTATTTAGACGAAAAGGAAGAAAAAAGTGCTGTTACGGAGCATACAATTACGGATAAAAATGAGTCACTGAATCTACCAGAAACAGAATTGCCTGATAGTGTTAATTTGACTGTTTTAACTAGTGATCATAGCACAGAAGAAATTCAGAACGATGTCGACACCATTGATACTTCTAATGTATCGTCAAAAGAAGCAGACTACATGTTTCCAGAAATACATTCAGAGTATACAGAAAACCTCACAGAAAAGTCAAATGAAATTTATCAACTAAACACTCAAGATAATAGTACCGCTAAAAATGAAAATGATGAGATGATGGAAAACAGCGAGAATCATAATTTAATTGATGAATTAAGTAATCCCATACCTAATAAAACAGAACTTAATTTGGACACTTCACAAAATAATGAATTTAATGAAATCTCAGATACTGGAACTTATCCAGAAATCAGGGAAAAAACACCTTTTACCTCACCGTTACATCAAATTGATAACAAACAATGTCAATTAAATGAAGATTTGTGTTGCGATGACTCTGAAAATAAAGAACAAACAAAAGAGATTATTGCAGGCGAGGTTTCAAAAGATTATGACATAGACACTGATGATAAAATTGAAAATGACAACCCCTTACAGTTATTGGACGAATTTTCATCATCATCAAATCAAGAGAAATTAAACAAAACAAATAATGAAGAATTTCTAGATTCACCAACCTGTATGAAACAATCGGATCTTTATGACTGTGATCAGATTATTAATGAAGATTTAGAACTGCCAATTCCACGAGCCTTTAGGTATTTTAACAAAGAATTGTATTCGCCCTGGATCCAAAAATTACTCACATTTTCCGAAGGTAATTGTAACAATCTAACACCAGAAAAGGACATCGACTGCTGTGATGATTTTTTGTATGACTCGATGGAATCCTTAAATACTTCAACAGAAACTGTAGTAAAACAAGATGACTGTGATTTAGATATGTGTAAATCACCATTTAAAGATGACGAACCACTATTTGAAGGTGATAAACCATTATTTGAAGATGGCAAACAACCATTCGAATATGGTAATCTACCTTTTGAAAATGACAATCCACCACTGAAAGATGACAAACCACCATTCGAAGATAACAAACCACCATTTGAAGATGAGAAACCATCATTTGAAAACGACAAATCACCATTTGAAAGTGATAGATCACCATTTGAAAGTGATAAACCACCATTTGAATGTGGTAAACCAACATTCGAAAGTGATAAACTATCATTTGAAAGTGATAAACCATCATTTGAAAGTGATAAACCACGATTTGAAGATGACAAATCACCATTTGAAGATGACACACCAGTGTTGGAAGATGACAAACCCCCATTTGAAGATGACAAACATGCATTCGAAGATGATAAACCACCATATGAAGATGACAAACCACCATTTGAATCTTCAAATGGTTTATCATCTGATAAACAAGCATTTGAAGTTAACAAATCTCCATTCAAAGATGACAAACAACCATTTGAAGATAATAAATCTCCCTTTGAAGATAACAGACAACCATTTGAAGATAATAAATCTCCATTTGAGGATGACAAACAACAATTTAAAGATAATACATCTCCATTTGAAGATGACAAACAACCATTTGAAGAAAACAAATCTCAATTGGAAGAAAACAAATCTCCATTTGAAGATGATATGTCCAAACCTGTAACAGAAGACTTGGACCAAGAGATTCATACTGACATAGAAATGGAAACAGATAATACCAGCGTTATAAATTCTCCGGTTTTAGACGACTATATCGATGAATCAGTGACCAATCAGGTTGATTTAAATAGTCAAATCGATTGCGAGGATAATTTAAAAATGGAAGAAAATTCTGTAGCTGATGAAGTTGTTACCGATGATGAACCATACCTCAATGAAGAACTTAACAAAAATGATGTAACTGAATCTTGTATAGAATCAGACATTGAGGAAAATACACTAACGGACAAAAATGTAAACGTAAGTTTCGAAAATCAGTTTAATAGTGATGTTGATAATCAATGTGAGGTTGTATCTGAAGTAAGTGAACTAGACACATGTAATGAAGAAGAAGTCGCCTATGAATCGATACCAGATCAATGTGATGATCAGTATGATGATAGAAAACAGAATAAAACTTTAGAAACTACTGATTCTGAAAATGTTAGGTTTCCTTCTAATGCAATTCCGTATAAAAAGTGCAATCGACTTAAAAGATCCTTATCAGATTCTGCATTAAACATGTACAATAATGAAGAACAGTCGAAACAGGAAAATGAAGATAATGTTCAGTTTATTTGGCCATTTAAACGTAGAAAGGTTAATAATGTAAACAATGAATTCCTAGCTCAAAATTTGTGCAATATAATTCATAATAATAGACGAAATTCAGTGTCTTCTTTTTATAATGAAGAAAATGTTTCGTTTTGTATTTTAATAGATAATAGTTGCATTATAACTGAAGAAGAAAACGAAGACACAGAGAAAGTTTGTTATACAGAACTTTCGGAAGATTGTTTACAAAATGAGCAAAATACTGAGAATTTAACAGAAAATATATCAAGTCCACAACCAGAACACGCTTGTGATTATTCAGATTCAGTTGTAGCAGACTGCGAAGAAGAAAAGACCTTAGAAGAATCATGGGTGGAAGATGTGGGTTGTGAAGAAACGATTATCGATGACGATGTTGCCGAAGATATAGAAATTTGTGAACCTTCGTCGCCAAAAGACGTTAGTTTGTCTGATAATGAAGAATCGGGTGTTTTTAGTAGCAGCGAGCACACCGATAAAGTGAAATCAATATATGGTGATAAAATGTGTAGCGATGATGCTCTATTCGTTGAAACTCTGTATAATACTCCCCAAATGGATGTGAATAAAACTTTGTATAGCAGAGAAACTCGTGTTTCTGAAGAGTATGATAGATATTATGATAACTATTCTTTAGAAAAAATGCTATCGGAATCTAATGAACCACCATTGTCGCCTTATGTTCCACCATATATTGACAAAATTTTGAACTCTGGCAAATTGAATCCTAAAGATGCGCCAGAAAACAAGAACAACGTAAGTGAAGGAACTTCATCTCCATTCCAAAATAAGAGTAATGCTTTAGACATTGTTGTAGATATTAACGTTGATAATAATCAACGTGAAAATCGACATTCCATAGAAATTTTTGCGAAAACTCAAGAAGATGCCGTGCATTCTTGCGAATCCAGTGTTGATAATGTATTTACGTATAATCAGAAAGACGAAGATGCAATTTATACGTCTAGTTCACCTGAAGTATCCTCTACTACTTCGGAAGAGAAAAACTCCAGCATATTATTGAAAATAACAAACTATAAAGGTTCTAGAATATCACAAATTAATGATATTAGTAGTGTCAATAAGAGGTCTAGTTGCAAGTTTACAGAAGAAAAGGAATATTTACATTCTCACGCAAATTTTTCCTCAAATCGACCACTTTTGACTAAAGCAGCTCAAAAATATATTCCTCCCTTAAAAGAATCAATCCGTGATCTTAAAGTCAAACTTTCTTTACCTCAACATAGTCTTATGAAACTAAAGCAATTAAAAATGTCCAAAGATGAACCAAAGCTGAATAAACAAAATGTTTCAACTCCTCGCATTCCTAAGAAACCAAAGCCTAAATTTGAAGACGTCCTTAAAAGTATAGATGAAATGCAATTTAAAATGCATAAAGAAAAGACCAAAAAACCAAAAAAATCTATTCCTAAAGTAGTTATTAAGAAAAATCGAAACGGTTCTCATTACGCGAGTACTTCAAATAAAGACGATTTTAACCCGGATTTGACAGGTAGAAAATGGCAACCATGGGTGTTTATAGAGAAAAACCATTTCATTGACAAAATGGCAACTAGAAACAAAACAAAGGCTATTTACAGCCATAGGAAGAGGACTTATGTGTTAGCTGAAAAGTTTCAGAAGTATAAGTCCGCAAGCAGTGCTAAGTTTGTGATATCGCCACCGATATCGGACAACTCTTCTTCGGGACTTAAATACACGATAAGATTAAAACATAATTACTGAGTGTAGTTTGTGTTGAGTGTCGCAGTTCCTTGGGTCTATGTATAATAATTAACAGCCATATTGGCTTCTGTGTTAATGGATCCCACCCCAATAAAGGTCTCGTGTTATCATTCCTACGATTCCATTTTAGTTTTTTAGTAGTTACCCATGTTAGTTTACTATATAGTTTATTATAACGAAGCCAAATTCAATACTAAGTGTGATATAAAAAGAAAAGAATTGTTATTGTTTGATAGTGCAATTTGATCTGATCTGTAATTTGTTAGAGTTTCAAATTTTATTATAATCGTTTTTACCTGCTGTGCCTGTCATTCCATTTTTATTAGTGTTATTGATTAGTACTATTTATTTCTTAGAATTGCACCTTCAAGATTTTAGTTATTTATTTAGCCATAATTTATGAGTATTATCTCCGTTAAATATTTGATTCCAAATAATACTGATATTTCTAATAAATATGTTTATGTTTGAATAATGTTTAGATGAGTTTTCTGTAAGTTGATTTATTCGTATTGGCGGCGGAGTCCATGCCCGACTAAGTAAATGTTTTGTAAATATAGTTGATGTGTGAAGTTGTGTGTGCAATCAAGGTCACCTAACATAAAAATGTACTTATACCTAGTCTAATAATAATTGGTAATAGTAAATACATAGTCCGATATAGATATTCATATTTTTGTGTGCCTATTTAAAGAATTTATTTGTAATCTATCGATAAATCGATCCACTCCATTTGATGAAACATGTCGTAAACCTCTTTCTGTCTTCCGTCGCCAAAGTTGAGCGTCGCTGTAATGTATGTGGTGCTTCATTCTGAAACCGAGTGTATACCGTGTGTACACGGCTAGGTTCATTATCGTTATATCGCCCGTGATTATTGCAGCTTACAAATATCCCGATTATATTTACACAACGTCCAGAGAACCGACAGAGCCTTGTACTGCCTGTATTAGCGGCCGATACAAAGATAATGAGCTAATTTTGATGATATTTATGTACATTGGCAATGAAATAATCACTGTGTGGTTTTGACAAGATGTTATAAATTAGTGTTAATACGATCAGTGCCTTCGGTACTGTCAAGATTGCTCACGTATAGTAAATTTTAAGCACATGTGTAATCATGTCTGGTAGATATTGATTTGACTGCAACATGTATCTATGTTACTGTGTAGGCGAAGTACAAAATTTGCACACTTTAATTGTTAAAACCTTATAATGTAACATGTATTTTGTAAGAATATGTTCGTTCAATATCATTCAATAATTGTGTTTGTAATGATGTTGCAGTGAAACAACATAGTGTAGGTAGGTAATAAAATTAAAGCGTGAAATAACCAAAGCCAATACTCAGAAATAATAGATGTTGAGAAAGTGTGTACGTACGTAGGTACCTACAGAATGTATACCTACACGGCGAAATAGCTGCCGGATGCGATACGTCTCGTATTGGAGAGGTAGATGTATCATAATAATCCATGTAAAATATCAATATAATTTATACAAATTGCACCCAGAATATTTATTGGGCATATTTTCATATACGTACCTAGGTTGCGAAGTTTTACTACATCTCAATGTTTCAATACAGGTACATGTTTTACTATGTGGAAGCAGCGTTAGGATACGCGGACAGTGCCTTTTACATAGTGCTGATATTATACAAGCAGTACCTCCGAGTACCTATGTCTTAGGACAAATGTTACTCTTACTACATACGTTTTGGCCATTTTAAATATTTTGGAAATATCTGTTGATCTCATAAAGGCACTCACCGATTCATGTTTTGCCTTATCGTGCCTATAAATATATTTTATTATTAAAATACACTATTTTGATATCATGTACAGGGTGTTCAATAAATATACCAAATATATGTGCTTTTAAGTCCTGCATACATGTATTTGCAAAGTGTTGCCTTCGTAGATAAAAATATTTTAGAAATACATCATAGTGTTATTGTGTAACAAGTAATTGAAATAATATTTTAAATGTGTTGAAATTCCTATAAGATGGTCGGTTATACAGTTTAATTTATTTATAGATCATAATATATTGTATGAGAAATGGTAGTTTTAAGTATTAGTCGTAAGTTTTATGGATAATAAATGTACAAAGGTAAAGTTAAGAGATGCGTTGACTTGCGCCCTGGATTTATTTGGGCACACATAACCTCAGTAGAGTTGAGGCTGGATATTTACCAAAAAGACAGTTTGCTGGTACACGTGCATGTAATGATGAGACGCGGCGCGCTGCCTGCGCCCGCCCGCCCGCCTGATGCCTGCCTGCCTGTCTGGCTGCCGGGCGGCGGCGGGGGTGGCGCGCTGTCTCGCAGACTGATGACTGATTACTTCACGTTCACCTAACAATCCTATCATACAATTTATTTCATCGTAACTTTCGATACCTTGTATGTTTGTTATGCACTATTGAGTGGATTGTTGTTTTTTTCCCTGCACTTGTTGGCCATTGTTATAACTAAGTTAATTAATGGTATATTCTATTGTGGTTAAATTATTTAATTAAGGGTTATGGATTAGTTATTATTGATGATTTAATAATTAGATATTTGTTTGTCGTTTAAATGTTAATGCATATCTTCTTATGCCAGTAACGCACGTGATAATGTATGGTGATAGACGGAAAATTGGACACACTTGCTCTAAAACTGAGTGGTTTATAAAAAGTGTGACACATTATACTGTTAATTAAAGGGATGTTATTATGTATTACGTTTTCGAGTGGTACCTAGTTTTGAAATTGTTCTATAATTGACCAAAATAAATGTGTTCGCAGTAAATATACGTTTATTATTTATTACATTAAATTAATTGTTACACTGGTATATTAACTTTCACAGCTTCTTGCCGTATGGCGCTGATCAGCTCTTGGTTCACCAGAAATACGAAGCGAAGTCCGGCAATCTGGGTACAAAAAAATACAACTTAACTATTGATCTTATAACTTTGCAATGAACATAATGCCCACTAACTCGGTTCAATTCAATTTTCAATAATTTCAATCAACGTATCGTTCCAGATTTCAACTTCAAATTCTATTAATGCAACATGCATTAAGCTGAAAAATGGCGAACTATTGTGTGTTCTCATAACATTCATTATGCCAAAATTGCCATAATCCCGCAGTAATGGTGACGTCCAAAATCATGGGTTGTACAACAATGGCATGATATAATCGGTAAGACTAATGACACGCAAAACATTACGAGCATAGGTACCTCAATGACGGTGTTGTGATTGAGCTTCACTTTGTTGCCTGGCAGGACCGGCCGACCGTCCACGAATATGGGCCGTTTGCCCTCGGACGACATAAAGAAGTCCCCACTGTTCCGCAGCCGAATGGTGGCCTGCTTCCGAGACACCTTCGCCGCCGGCCCTTCCAAAGTCAGATCCACATCGATATTGTTGTCCCGCGTACTACGGCCAACTGCGATCTAGTGAACAAAAACGTAAAAACATTAATTAAAATCTTTGTTTCATACAAATGTTTTTAGAGTTTTATACTTTTAAATTATGTGTTTTGACGTAGAACATAATCTGCATACAATGCCTTTAAATCTAATCGTATTTTTAATTAACTTTTCATGTAAGGTGTACCTATAATATCAAGTTGTTGATAATTAATTGTGATACTTAGTTTGTTAAAAGTCTGATAGTACCTATCTATAAAAACCTATGACATTAATTTATATGACTATACGTTTCACGTCGCCTCTACGCAGTATATCTACTGAGCTAATTATTACCGCAGCCTGTGAATGCAGTTACTAATTGATACGGTGAATTTAAATTAAATAATTCCAACCAGGCTTTGTTAAACTGGACATAATTTTTATAAGGCATCGCTTAAAACTACCTACAGGTAGAGTAGCGTAGGTACCTACCTACCATACGTGGGTGGGTAGGTGATATCAATAAAAATTCACGTTTTTCCCATAAACTTATAAACTGTTCACATAGTTTACCCACGTGTCGTAATAATGCGCAACGATATCCTTCTTCGCATGTTCGTAACAAAAGCCATCAAAATACTGAAACCACTCAACAAGTTTTGCGTAAAATCGACGTTTATTAAACACGCACGCAAGCAATTAAAACACAATCGAAATCGGAAACTAATTAACGAATGCACTATGAAACGAATGGTTTTGATAATAGCCGTTAAAAACAATACCTGCTTATAAATAATTTGCAATAATGACGGACAACCGTCAGCTGACAAATTGGTACATTGGAATCACACGTCTTATCTACATTCCGTGACTGTAAAACTGCTAAATATGTTTACAATCTATAAAATATCTTAGATAGCGTCACTGATATTTTCATATTTAAATAAATTATGGTAAAACATCGAATGAGGTTTTTTATGGAAATGATTAAAGCACAGTCGAAGAGAGAATGGCGTGGCGTGGACGTGGTCGATTTAAACTTTTTGAGCGACTGTACTGTTTAATGATTGTGTTCATTAGTATTGTGTTATTAACAAAGCAGATAGAACTGTTGACATACTAATTGAACAGATAAGGTTATCAAATAACTAGTTATTCGTACAGCTGATTATGTGCAAGTACGTCGCTGTGTTCGTTACTGTATGTGTGACTTCTATTTTCCTTTTACTCGATAGTAGTGCAGAATATTTTATAGTGTTAAAGTAAAATATACTAAATTGTTCTACTTCAGTACATTTTTTTAAACACAAAATAGCTTTCAAAGTGGAACGGGAGTTTATTTTTCTACGTTTTTATATTTATTACTATGGTAACATATAAGTTCGTTACGGTTGCCTACGCAAATAAGCCGTATTTTTATATTTAGTGAATTAAATACCTTTTTATTAATGGTTTTATGGGTATTCACGACCGGTTCGTTTTCACATCCTCCGGAAAATAAAATAAACTGAGTAATTTAAATCAAACTTGTGTATAATGTTTTATCAAGGAGTCATAAATATTATAAACTCTGACTCAAATCGTCGCAGAAAACTAATAACAGGTGAATTTAGTGTCATTTGTTCAAAAGTAATGTATTGTTCTAATGCGAAATCTGCAATAGGTAACCCATTAAATGACAGAAGCGGCGGTTCAGTGACACAGATGTGCACTTTCATTACCTGTGGCACCGTTACATTCAAACATGGTAAGACGTTAGACATTTCTAGGTTATCTTTAAGTAGCTTCGAATAACTAAGGTAAAGGTGCATTTAAAAGCCTGCTTATAAATAAATAAAACCCCCAGAATTTTAATAAAACAAATAAGAAGTTGGACTTTCAAAAATATATGAAAATAAAAATCATATTTTTTAATGGTTTTGCTTGTTTGCGCGTCTGTTCTGCATGACTGCATGGAATTGAATATATGAATTTCACCAATGTGTAAAACCCTGCTACAACCCTGAACCTCATAATAGTCAATGACCTATAAGACCAACAGTCAACACAGAAGTCCTCAAATATGGAATTTAAAAGCAAGATGGCGTGACAATTTCTGTCATGGCTTTATAACTGCGAATGGGCGGGAAAGTCATTACAAGTAATGAGTTTCGTGGTTAACCATGTTATTTCTTAATCTGGTTAGTGTTAACATTGTTTTTTCTTTGAAAGTAATATTATTAGGAATAAATCAGTGTAACGCACACGGCGAGCCGAACATAGCCGAGCCAGGCTTCGCTCGCGCTTGCGCACTCGTCGCATCTCCGCACGACCAACGTGCGAATCTTCGAGAAAAAGTCAACACGCATGTGCGAGACACACGTGACCCGCGACGTTCAAACAAGCGAGAGGCGGCCGTCACACAGCTCTGCATAGTTTTTTCAATTTATTTCCCTTAACCCGGCGAGCATGAGGCGAAAAAAAGTTACTTCAAGAATGTGGCAGGGTGTGACATACCCTTATCTTAATGTACCGTAATATAGTTATTTTTATTATTATTTTTATTTTGTTGATTTTATTTTGTAAAATAATGAATTATTTAATGGAGTTAAATGAAAGAAGTTCTTTTTAAATAATAATGTTTTATTTATTCATATTTATTTTATACGATGTAATTTTAGGAACAAAGTACTAAGGTTTTACAAAAATTAAGAATTCAACAAAATTATTATTCTTTGGAATGGAAATCAACTTAAAACTAAAAGATAATGAGATCCACCTCGTAAAAAACTAATAAAGTATTTTTTTTATTGAAATAGGATTAATTAGCACTGTTGAGATCAGCACAATTTTCGCAAATATATTTTGCATGTTCCAAACATAAATATGGGCTTGCCACACGCATTGCAGGAATGTTTAGTTTTTTTGTCCTTCTAATATGGATAATCCGGGCATCTGACATATCGTCTGGGTGCAATTGTAGGTCTAGGTGAGGGTTCACCGAGCTGCAAGCTTGTTGAATCATCACCTTCTTGCTCCGTATCAGAATTCACTTCATGTTCACTACAATGATCAGAGTCTTGTTCTGAACTGGATTCTCCAGAAGAATCAGTTGCTGCCTCTTCCAACATAGCACGAATCTGTTCCTCTTGACTTTCAATATCCATTTTGGTCAAAAACTAAAAAAATAAAATAATGGAAATGTTCAATAAATGAACGAATAACAAATTCATATAGTAAAATAATAAAGAAATAACAAAAATCTAAAAACAACAAACAAAAAGCAACAAAATCTGAAATTAATTGAAAAAAAAACTAATAAAACAGTTAAAATTCATTCATAAATCATTACGTAAAATAAATATGTCAAAAATGAGGCAGGGTAAAACATACCCGAGACAAGTTTGTGCACGTATAACTTCGCCGATGCCTCGCGCCACACTGCAATCACGCCACTACCCGGTCCCGCACGCCCCTACCTTCAGCTACTAACCGATCTAGTGTCGCCAGACGAGGATTTTAAAATGTACAGCACTTTTAAATTTCAACAGGGTATGAGATACCCTGGATCATGCTCGCCGGGTTAATCCCAGTTGGAAAAAATATTTTACGAGTTTTTCTTTGTTAAGATTACAGTGGCGCTCCAACTAGTGGCCCGAATCACGAAAATACTACATTGAGTATTACTATGCCAAACACACGAGCTATGCGCGCTGCTAAAGCCGCGCTCGACGCGGACATCCAGCCGAGCGACGTCAGCGACCGCGAAGATTATGACGAGGCTACGGAGCAGAGCCCTGTACGGGCCCCCGAACCTGTCCCCGCGTCTGAACGTACCGGCGCCAACGCTAGAACAATGGACACCGAAATGTTGCTAGCGAACATGATGGAATCATTCGTCAAGATGCAAGCTGAGACCAACAGGTGCCTGGTGGAGACGCTGAGGGCGTTGCCAGCGGCCTGCGGCCCATGGCA